TGGAGATTCCGATCAGGAGGGACCTATTGTCCCAAGCAGGGGGCACGGTTTATCACCCTCGCCTGGAGTTATGGAAGCTGTGGGCTTGGCCCCTGAGGGGGCCCAGCTTATAGAATCAGGTCTCACGACCGAGGTCGTGGAGACCATACTCCAGGCCAGAGCCCCTTCCATGAGAAGACTGTATGCATTGAAGTGGAGACTATTCTCTTCTTGGTGTAGAGAACATCAATTGAATGCTGTCAACTGCCCTGTTGGTTCAGTTCTCGATCTTTTGCAAGAGCGTTTCTCTGCTAGATTACATCTTAAAGGTGTACATGGCGGCTATATCTGCTTACCACACTCCTTTGGGTGGCGCATCTTTGGCTAGAGATCATCTTATTACTCGTTTTCTCCGTGGCACTCAGAGGCTGAGGCCTGCATTGCGCACTAGCATACCGGCATGGGATATGGCCATTGTACTGGAAGGCCTGACTTTAGCTCCTTACGAGCTTATTGAAGAGGTTTCCGAAAAATTCTTATTTCTCCTTGCCATTTCTTACAAAAATAGAATTGGAGATTTGCAAGCTCTGTCGGTTGCTCCTTCGTGCCTGGAATTTGCACCTGGTATGGTTAAAGCCTTCCTTCGCCCTAGGCCGGGTTATGTCCCTAAGGTCCCTACTACTGTTGTGGGTCCCATTATGCTGCAGGCCTTCTGTCCTCCATCTTTCTTATCTTCAGATCAGGAAAAACGTAATCTGCTATGCCCTGTTCAGACTTTGGATGCCTATGTCCACAGAGCTGCCCTGTGGCGAAAGTCGGATCAACTATTTGTCTGTTTCGGGTCACCCAGAAAAGGGTACCCTGCATCTAAGCAGAGAATGAGCAAGTGGATGGTTGAGGCTATCTCAATTGCTTATGAAGCGGCTGGTCAGCCTTCACCTATGGCTGTCCGGGCCCATTCTACTAGGAGTATGGCTGCCTCTAAAGCTCTGTTATCGGGGGTTTCCCTTCTTGACATTCACAAGTTCACACTTACATACAATTAGAGGGAGTAAAGTTTAATGCGTATTTGGCATGCTGTCCAGGGGAGGGCTCCGAGCTCGGAGTTCGGCCCGAATCCAGAGTACTCCCCTGTATGTAAATGGTTAGGACTAGAAGTGTGGAGAAGGGGTGGTGGAGGGATGCTGCTAAACTGTCAATGAATTGAGGTGAGACTGCTGAATATATATACACCTCTTATCGTTAATTGCTGAGTGCTCTCCACTCGTGTTAATTATCTGAAAGTGCTTCTCCCGAACTGTGTTAATAAAACATCATTTTGTGATGCGGCAGGCTAGTCCTCAGCACACACATTTGTGAGATTTTATAACCTAGATTTAGGCTACACTCTGGGGTCTAGAGTGCTTGTATCTTAGCGTGCGTTATGATTTCACACAGACAAGCATGGGTTATTATGGCGTCGTAGCTCGAGTTCCCTCTCAGGTTACGTATGTAACACTGGTTCCCTGAAGAGGAAACAAGACACTGCGTCACCTTGCTATACTCCCTGCATGCCTGTCGTCAACTTGCTTCAGCCCATCAGAAGCTAGCTCGGTCTGTTTTCGGGTATGCTTTATAGCTCTGGTCTGTGACGTCACCCGCCTATGACGTCTCGTCATACCATTGGACTGATTGTCCACAGCATTGGTGTTCCCACTGTGTCTCGCCGCATTGAACTTCCACTGTAAACACATGTATGATGCGAAAACGAAACCATCGAGCGAAATACCGGAGTGAACATGGCTGACCGAGTTTTGCTGCCTCCTTAAACTGATCCTCCATAGCCCCTTTCACACAGCGCGTTGATCCCGGTAAATTGCCGGTAAATTGCCAGAACGCCTTCTGTGTGAACGCAAACACGACCCGGGATTGATGCCGGGATCGATGCCAGGTTGGGGACTTAGTAACATTGACGGGATCAGTCCCGGAACGCGCGCTGTGTGAACAAAAGCCGTAACCAATGCCGTGTCGTAATTATGACGCTGAAGTGATGTGAAAGCAGGCTAGTGAAACGGTACGTAATGGGCTAGTTTATGATCGAATCAGAGAAAAAAATGCACAAGCGTGGTTTCTCCAGAGAGAAATCGCAGCTCATAAGCAAACTATACACGCTGCTGAGACATTACATGTCACATCGATGTCACGTGTCTTTACGGGATTTTTACGGGTTGTGTGTGAACGCACTCTCTGATTCTGGAAAATCACTGGCAGTGTGAATGAACCAAAATCAAACGAACCCGGGTCAAATCCCGGGTCACTTTATCCGTGTATTTTCCGGAATCTCTGTGTGAAAGGGGCTCATGAGTGCAACCAAGGGGGACACAATCACAACTATCGCCTTGCCGGCCTTTGGCCTGCCCAGTTTCTCGCTGACGATCGGTAATAGTTGATAAATTAAACTTTCCCAAAACCTGTCGGGAGTAGGGCCACAACATCACCTCCATTCAAAATGTTTAACAAACACTCTTTTTGTTCGGGCTTCAGTTTGCAAATGCCGGGAATATTCTCCACAACAGAGCGCATTGCATCCCGTGTCTCCATATCCGCGGTTACAATCTTAAACTCGGTGCTTACGTCAGTTTATGCTACGTCACGGCTCTCAGCCCGCCCTCTTTTCGTTGATTGGCCGGCTGATTTCAGGAAGGAAAACTAAGAGACATGTCGATGTCTCAGACTGAGTACAGAAGCGAACTGAAATAGAGTGGAAGTACGAAGTCAGGCTAAGAAATCTCCACTTCAGCAGCACTTGCATACACCAAACTTTACAGTTTTATTCCTACATTCTGAAGGTTTTTACAGAGGGGTTTGTTCATATATAACTTTTTTTTGCCATTCCTAATGTAATCAATCAACTGGAAAAGTATGGTGATTTCTATTAGTTTTTTTTTTACCCTATTCACCTGTCTTTAAAATAAAATAAAAACATTCTTACAAATCAATTGTGGAACTTTGATGAACAAAAAAAGGGATGGCCGATCGAACATACTGCAAAATCATGCTAGTGAGTTGTCTTGCTGTCTATTCCCTATATTGACAATATCCTGTCAGAACCTAATGGAGCTCATTTGGAACTCTATAGGCAAATCACACAGCACTCCACATATAAAGCACATGGGAGACTCCCCTCACACTTCAATACATTTCGGCATCAGGATGAAAAAAAAACCCCTTCCAATTCTAAGTTCCTTTCTATGATGGATTTATTTCAATGAACTTGTCACAATGCATCATGGGATTGTCTTCTATGTAAAAATAAATGCAATGCTTCATGAGAAGTTGGCCAAAAAAAGCGCTTGTTGAAAATGCTGCATTTTTCATAGGCAGCCAAATAAATGACAGAGAGTTTGGTTTATTTCTCTGCACCATGGATCTGTGCAAATAAACTACAGAGCCACACATATTGTCAGGATTGGTGTCAGGCTGATTGGAAGGGTTTATGTCAACGGCTTATATAATTTAAACCTCTTAATCGCATATTCCACGTGTATTCTTCTATTTGCAGTTCTGTCAAAATATTTCCTCTTTTACCTTTGCTCCTTCATGTGGGAAAATAGTTAGTGTAATGTAGAATCATCAGGTTATTTACACATACCAACTGAGAGAAAATCATTAGCGAACATCTAGCAAGCAAACAAGTTAGTAGCATCTTAACAACCTTGCATTGCAAAAACAAGATATGGCTATGAGGAGACATGCACAGGTTATTGAAGAAGTCCTTCTCATCACATTCCCTAATGCACTGGGCACAGCAGCCACAAACACCAAAATGGCCTTGTAAAAATTCTAGAATATCTATATTGTTGTTTCTATCAAGACAAGGACACAGCAGTGAGACAAACTGAAGGCCACACGCTGCAATCATTTGACACCATGAATTGTCCTGTAAGTAATGTCACATGAAGACAGTTCAGCAGGGACATTTATTTATTTGACACTGCATTACAAAAAAGCTTCAATTACTGACATGTTTATGTGAATAAGGCATGTATTACATGCTGTAAAAGGAACAAACCTGTAAAATGTTTTTCACCAGCAGTATAAAAGTCTCAACAACAGTATAAAATCAAACTAGGAACGATCAGATTTTTACATGCCGTGTTGCCAACTAAGCAACAAATCAAAAATGCCCATATCTGATATGGCTCTTTTGATAAGTAAACATCAGATGGATAAAAGCAGCATCTGACAAAAATCATCTGATAATTCTGTTAAAAAAGTTAAAAAGACAGTGTTTATTTACCTGAACATTTTGTGCAAATGGTAACTGTAATTAAATGCCATCGCCCATTCATCATATGTTGTTCCTTACATGTGAACAACATGTAAACAATATCATTGTACTTATTTTTTTTTCTTTGACAGAATGCATGTGCTGCCCTCCAGTGGCAGGAGCTTAGATGTGCATTATCTGCAACTGCATGCTGCCATTAGGCACAAAGCTCCAAAACTACCACACATTTACACATTTGCAAATTTAGAGCTAAATATCCTCTTTCAATGCTAAGCAAAGCTAATATCAGACTAAAAATATAGTGGAGAGAATATTAGAGATAACACATAGGGCATATTTCAACAAATTCTTCAACAAAACATTTTAATTTTTTTTATTTATAAATCTAGGCCTGTAAAAAGAAAAAGAAATGGGGTGAAGATCACAAAACCTGTCAAAAACTTTCAAAAGAAAAAAAAATGACATTATATTTAAGAAAATATAGAAGATTTGGCTTACTTTTAGGATCAAATGTGATTCTTATTTTTGAAAATAATAGTAATATATTATCTATATTGTCAATTAATTTATATCATTGTGGTATTTGTTGCATTGCCTTTACGATGATTTAAAAATTAATTTTAGTTTGTTTTTTAATACTATAATAATATCTAGTTATGTAATGAGAATATAATGAAAATCATTGAGAATAACGTGTTTAATTCTCATGAAAATAATGTTAAAATGCCAAAAAAGCGCTTTATTTTCTTAAAAGATGCTTCATTTATAATAGTTCTTTTCCTGGTATACTTTTGTGGTATTCACCTAAAAATAAACATGACAACGGTTTGGCTGAGCAAACTGTGTAAAACCAGTAAAATGTAAATATGGACCCAGCAATCATAGAATACAGCATGCAGTCTGTGATTTTGACACCCTTAAATGTTCTCTACTGTTCCAGCATCATCATTTAAAATAAAGGAATTAAATGTGCAATTAATTAAAAAGATAGTGTAAATAGAAAACATTTCCAACTGTTTCCAGTGTTTCAAATGCTAGACAGGAACTCACAAATTAATTCTTGAATTCTCGTCTCTTTCTCAGTGATTCCACACTCCCAAAAGAGGTCTGGATTTGCCCACCTCTATGATCTGCTCGGCACTGGAGGGTAATAGATCGGCATGGAGTGATCACACACACTGAGGTCTGATTTGCCACTGACAAGTATGTCATTGCTCCAGATTTCTTCGGTTGACTTTTCGCAATTGATCAGCTGGAAATCCCTGTCAACACAGATCTCTATTTGGCCCAAAGTCTGAAACTGGCCCCCCTGAGAAATACAGTAAGAAATTAGATCTCACCTCAGCAAAACTGATGGCAAATTGTGGTCTGAGTGAATTTAACTGTTGCTCAGAGCAGAAGAGGAAATCAAAATGGGCTACATTTACTTTCTTAAAGGAATATGTTGGGTTCAATACAAGTTAGGCTCAATCGACAGGATCTTCAAAAAACACTAATTCATTTTTCTTTTGAAACGTATGTATTATTTGAGCCGTAAAGTTTAATTTCATAATTTATGTTCTCATGGCAACAAAGTTTTAAATCTAGATATACTATAACATTGTGCAGTTTTTCACTCTAAAATTGTTTGTGCTATATAGACTGACCCAATCACTTCCATTGGAAGTGGCTTACCTAGATTACCCATTGGAAGCCTAGATTTTAAACTGTTTTACAGAAAAGGAGGGACGAGTCTAAATACATTTTTGTGGTAAACACCATTATGCCAGTCATGAGGGGCTTTCGCACCGGGTAGTTCTAGGAACTTAGTTCGAGGAACTAGCCACCAGGGTGATTCCCTGAGAACTAATGGTTCCTTTAGGAACATTTTCCTGGTTGCATTCGCACCGCCAGTATGAACTCTGAAGTGACCTTTATTTTGGCGGCGGTGAGAATGGCAGAGGCTGAGCATATAGTGCTTGTATGGCACACATTGGTTATTGGATTAAACTGTTATACATAGAAAGTAGACAGTATATGAAAGGGTATTGGCGTATGCCGTGTGGTTGATATCTAGTGTTGCTAGCTGAGCAGAAATCATGTTTCTCTTGGTCCCCTCAAAAGTTGTGTTGGATTTTCTCCTCACCATAAAGGTTGAGAGGCCCATCTATCACTGTTTTCCATGTTCGTAGACTTAGTTTCTAGAGTAAATATATAGGCTACAATCTGTGTGATTACCATAGACTGTAAAACAAATATGGACATAGTGTCCGTGATGTCATCCATAGGTTTTTGAAGAGCATTTTTGAATCCCAAAGTGGGCGGAGCCGGCCGTCGCCATCTTGGTAGCGTGTCACTCCCGGATAAACGAAAAATGGGCAAAAAGGTGGGATTAGCTGAAGGGACATGGCACTAACAGACAGCAGCTATATAGACCAAAACCACTTTTTGCACCAGGCTGTAAACTATTTTTATTTCTGCTGTAAAGTTGGGCATTTTAACATGTGGGGTCTAGTCGATAAATTGCAGTTTAAGTCACTCCGTAGTTGGATTCAAGAGAGAGACCGGAAGGTTGCCACTTGTTGTTTACACAGCTTTTTTTTTAAATGGCGGGTGCTGGCGTTTCGCGTGCGTTCGGCCAATCAGCGTACACTAAGGTCACTGGTAGTTCCTATGGTCCTTATGCACCAGAGGAACAAGGGGCGCCGCCATCTTTAGAATATTGTTTTTGAACTTCCGTTTTTGCGATCGCTCTGTATATCTCTATGGCATTGCTGTCCAGGAGTAATTAGCTTTTGAAGTGGATTTACTTAATGTAAAGTTAACGGACGTTATCATGACGATTGTAATGTTTAAAGCAGATGTCTTAACAAATGTCAGTAGACCGGGAAGATTTTAAAACGAGCCTTTCATTCATAAATAGGCAAGATCGCTGTGAAAATAACAACGAGCGCAGCGCTGAAAAGGGGCGGGGCTACATAAGGTCTATAGTGCTGGTAGGAGCTCTTTTTTTTACTCTGAAGTAGGAGCTAAATAAGTTCCTCCAAAAGGAGTTCCAAGAACTAAAATAGTTCCTAGTTCCTGCAGAGCGAACACGCCAAAATCCGGGTACTTCCGCCAATAGTTCTAGGAACTATGAAAAGTTTCCTCTGGTGCGAAAGCCCCTATGCTGTCGACTGAGCCAGGAATATTTAACACACAGTCTTATAGGAATATACACAACAAAATAAAATAAAAAAATGCTTCAAAGTCTAAAACAACTTTTCTTGTCTGCTGATGGAAGGGTGGTTAGAAGATTCTGTCATTCTTCATTCATACCTTTCCTGGGTGGACACACTGAATCTTTGGCTTCACTTTGTAGAAGTTGATAAGGGCTGTCTCCACATCATCAAGCTACAACAAACAGGAAATATGACACATTTACTCACATGTGACCATAATCACAAGATTCTTGTTTACTCTAGGCCAAAAATGGAGAAGTTCAATGACCGCAATAGAACATTGCAAGAAGTCAGGCTCTGTGTGTTGAAATGCTGATCTTGCAGCTATCGCAGTGTACACTGGGCAACTTATACACGCTGCGGTTTAGGATAATGCTTTGTGAGGTATCTTATTAGATGGATGATACTTTAGTGAAAATTAAACCTGATCGTTATTTCCATGTGAGAACATGCTGTGTATTCTGTTCCTATCACTGATACCACAACAAGCTGGAACATTACAGTAAATACACTCCAGCACAACCACAGCTTCCGGATTATGGCTTCACAGACCCATCTCTCAGGTCAAAGGTCATCGTAAAATATTTACGTGATCATCTACAGAGGACCACAGTTAGTTCAGTGTCTCATAAATGATAATTACAGCAGTGAGAACAATTAAACTACTTACAGTGTAACGCTCCTCAGAGGGCACAATGTTGTTGTTCCTTAAAACACTAAAAAAAACAAGACTCAATAGGAAATCAATGTCAACTAGGGATGGGAGGCATGATGGTAGCAGCTAACATTTCTGTGAGATAGCAGAAGTGTTTTAAGTGGTAGTCTTTATACCATTGTAGCTGTAATTGTGAAGCCATTATGGGCAGGATTGCTTTAATATACTTGCCGTACACATGGAGTAATATGGAAATCTAAAGCAGGACGTGCCCCAAACTTGTTATTAAAGTGTGTTGTTAGGTACAATATGAATCAACGGTTTATTTGTTAAAAAGCATATTGCAGGTAAAAAAAAAATCTAAATTAATATATAACCTTGTATGAAAATACCATATGAAAAGTTAATGCAGGATTTAAAATGTTTTAAAACGACATAAGGGCACTAATTTAGTAGATAAAGTGAGCATTTCTTGGACTGCTCGTAAAAACGGCTTTTTTTTCAAAATCGCGTCATTTTACGTCACGCTAGGGAGCCTCAGCCTCGGCTCAGTGCAGAGTAGGCTGGTGTTCAGTGAGAGCGGTTGTGAGTCAGTGTGTTTTAGGTAGTTTTTGTATTTCAATTTATCATCGTCATGGTAAATTATTGTGTTTGTGGAGGTTGCAAAAACTCCGGCCTGTAAGGACATTGAGTCCACAGGTTTCCATAACAAGAAAAGGGACGGTGCTGTATATATTTCGTGCCTGGTGCGGTTTGTGCAGGTGAAGAGACGGGATTTGTCTTCCGCATCGGCTTCGAGAACCGCGGTCGTGTGTAGCGTTCACTTAAGATCGGAGGATTATCATCCCGGCGATATGATGGAGTTTAACATGGGATGCCGAAGCCAGAATATTGATCGTCGTATACTGTACCAATGGCATCAAATAGTGTGATATAGGTAGTCATGCCCTAAATAGAGGCAACTTGTAATTGAAAAACAAAATGACTATTGTTTAAATATTCAAATCTTTCATTTTCTGTTTATGTTATAACCCAGGTGAAAAATATGTTTTAAAAATGTACTTGAGTATGTTTTTAGTAACTTACAATAGAAATATACTCAAGTATAGTTTTTATACATTTAATAGTATAAATCTACCCTAAACATACTAATGTCTGCTGGCCTGATATACGATGGTAATAATCTGTACAATATTGTGAGCACAGTGTATATCGTTAGCGAACGTGTATCTATAAACACGTCTCTCACCAAGACACCTGTCCTGTTCTCCACTGGTTCTCCTCACACCACAACTCAATTTGTCTCTGACCGTTCTGTCTGACATTAGTCCTGGCCTGTCCCTGCTCTCTTGGCAGCCTAGCAGGCTCATAATTGTATGGCTGTCGTCCGTCATACGAGTAAGTATTTCCTCAGCGTCCGAAATGTCATTGTGATCCATTGTTTTCCTGTTGTTTGAATCGACCGCTCTCCCGCCCGTTACGTCACGCCCATCACGCCCATTTTCAGACACGGAAGTAAAATTTTCTCACAAAAACGACTCCAGAAGCTTCTGTAGCGTATTTATATGAATTTATATGAATATTTTAGAGAAAATCTAGTTCCTACATTATTTTTCTATACATTGACTCGTTGGGTCCTCTAACCTGCAATATGCCCTTTAATGGTTGTCGAGCAACATTGTAATTTGCCACATCTACCCTACAAAGCATACTGTATCATTAATATGCCATATTTCTTATACAGTATATATATATATATATATATATATATATATATATATTCTCAAATGTAATACTCTACAAAAAAAACAAAAAAAAAAACACAAGCAAAAACTTTTTTTTATATATTTTGTCTAAAGGTTCTATTATGCCATATCAGGCTTTACAGGGTTAATTTAGAATTTAAATGTTAAATTGAGCATATATCACCAATTTTACAAAAAGTTCTGAATGAGGCTCCAATCAGAATTTTGAGTCAGAACTATCAGTTTTATAATATTAGCTGTACTGTATTGAGAATTTTAATTTAGATGAAGTGTTACATAATGCCCGTTTTTGGTGACAGTTATCACTCATTTACTGTATAAATAATCGTATCTTTCGTTTTACATCCACCAAATTTACTGCTATCTCACGACTTCCTAATTTACCAAAAGCCACAAAATCAGAGTGACAAGAGCCACTGAAAAACAAGAACTCACCTATTAAGGTCAAACTTGTGGTACAGCTCAAGAGCTTTGCTAAAGTATTTATGCTCACTGTTCAGAGACTCAGCTTTTGCAGCACATGTTCCATGTTTCTGCCATTCATATTTCCTAAACACACACACACACACAAAAAGAAATCATTAATAAAATCATAGTAATGCTTAAATGTATTTCACATTTTCAAGTTTTTGACATACCAAAATTCTGGGGAAGAAGGTACAAGCAGATCAGGCCAGACTTTCTCCATTTCTGGTAATATGTCCTGCAAGACATGCACATACAACATGTCAAGCACATGTCCGTTGAATTAAAATATATGACATGCAAGAGGGCAAATTACCTCAATCAAACTGGCATTAAAATGCCAGGATGTGTTGCACCTTATGCCAGTGTTGGGCCTGTAATAACAAAAAATATTCTTCAAATACTTCTACTGCCACAAAACAATCATCCAACTGGCATTGGCATCATTACTGGATGATTTTTGAGATCACATGACACCAGGGTTGCACTAATATAAAAATGTTATCATAACAATATTTGCAGTACACAATGTCAAGTATTAAGTTTATGTTACACAAGATGGAGCAGAAGTGAAATGCAGAAAATACGTTTTTTTTTTTTTTTTAAACAAGAGGTGTTATATTAGCAAATGTATTTTTTTTATGCTTGTGGGTTAGTTAAATGTTTGAGGAAAAGGTGTCTTCGGTTAATACCAAAGTATACCATTTTTTATACAGTATGTCTTCCATAAAAACAAGAAACCAATATAGTCACCAATCATGCATGTGCACCTCAAAAATAGGAAATTTTGTTAGACTTTGACCAACATTACGAAGCATTTTTTTTTTTTTGATAAACCTACCATAATCCATGCAGAGTCCAATAGCTCAAATTTGTTTTACATTGTTCCATCTATAAATGAAAAACAGCATAATTTATCCACCTGATACCCAGAGAAGGAGAAATAGATGGCATGTCAACAATAACATAATGTCAAGCAAAGGAAATACATTACACTGCAAAATGTCTGTGGCCAGTGTTGGGTCAGGATGAGTTTTGTCCATTCTCCCCTAAAAGAAGCAGTCAATTCACAATGCATGATTTCAGTGTGACAATTACCATCTGACATACATTTTGTAAAAAGTGGTCACAGTAACAAATACATATTAAAATCATTAAATTGGCCATGCAAATGGTTGAAACTCATTGACCAAATTCGCATTGCTGTTATGCACCTGAATATTGTTTTGTAATTTTCATTACTGTTATAAAGTAGGCTACTTTTTAATGGTTCACAGTGTTAAACACAGTGACACAATATTTATTAGTAGTAGTATTTAAATCTTCTACAAAGAACTAATACAATAACGTATAAAAAAAAGCCAAAAAACACTAATTTGAAATTCCTGGGGGAACTCTCAAATAAATTATTTTTCTTATTATTATTATTATTCCAGTCACAATGCTGTGCATTTTGTAATACATTATGCATATTATGGTTGCTGAGAGAGAACAAGTTTTTAGAACATTTCCTTAAAATGTGATTCTTATTATGAGACGGTTCATTAGTAAATCAAAAACCGTTCGACTAGTGTAGTGGGATACGAGTCGGTTCTTTCTAGCTGATCAAAAATAAATGAATTAATCTGACTCTCTAAGTTATTAATATCATCTTCAATATTAATTAGCCTAACCAAGAACTGTTAGTGTGTTTTGTTTTCATTGCTGTGAAAAGTCACAGGATGTCCTGTCTGAGACGTCATAAAGACACATAACAAAATGTGAAATAAATGTAATAAATCGTTACTAAAGTTGTTTTTACACAAGCTTTGAAATGCCTGTGTAAAAACAAATTCAGTAAGAATTAGGCTAGATTTATTACATTTATTTTATATTTTGTTATCTGTCCTGTTGACGTCTACAAATAAGAAACTCATCTGTTGGCAACAGCCTGATATGGGCAGTACAGCAAGTTCAGTTGAACGTTGTTTTCTAATCTTTAACGTCTTAGATTTTATGTAGTGTTTACTGTGTACTCTATGTATCTCGTTCAATACATTCTGGAAAATACAAACATGAGGCTTTACAGTAAGGCTATATAGTATTGATTTTCTGGCTGCTAATGCACCCCAACTTCAAACAGGAATCAATGTATACATTTATCTAAACGTATGACATACCGAGGATGGGCAAAGGCCGTTGAACAGAAATATCCAGCACAAAGTACGACAGCAACTGCAATGAATCTCATTCTTCCAGGTGGAGCAAGTCCGCTCATCTAAGAACAAAAAAGGATTTATTTCCAACGTACATTGTAAAAAGCATCTACAAGACACAGTCAAAACACAGAGCATAACGCAAAGTGGCGTCCAAAAGTATCAACCGAATGTGAGATAGAAAACAAAAACAAACAACAACAAACAACACTGAACATAAACTTGCGTTAAGAAGTCAATTACCTTTTATTGTCTGATATAACGTTACCGCTTTGGTTTGGTGTGTGCAGTTTTTACGTCCTATTAGTATCAGAGAGCAGCAGCGTTTTAAAGGTTGTTATTCAGTCTACAGTATGTGTAAGATCGGACTGCCCCAGCCACTGTATCAGAAACTGTGCGGTGGAGTCACTTCCTTTCCTGTCAGACAGACACACTGCGGCCTCTATGTGCCTTGATCACGTTTACGGTGGTATTTCGTCACTGCGCGTGCGCTGTCAAATCATGTGATAAACGGCAAATTATGTCATGTGAAGGTGGATTATGCAGATTAAACTATACTGTCTCAACCAGGGAGATTTCTAATGTCATTGTACTGTTCCTTGAGACACTACAGGCAAAAACACGTTTTTTTCATAATTTAGAGATTTGGGGCTTTTTAGCTTTTGGAAAGAAAACATACAAGATACACTTTTTTAGTGTAGCTATTATATATTTTTTATAGAACTTTATCTATTTGCGTTGGTAGATTTCAATTACAGTACATGTCTTTAAAGGCTGTGTTCTCAAAGATTTTTTTCTCATGCCCTGAGCCTGGAATCTCTTCTGCAACACTTACATACACCACAGTTAGTTTTATTCCTATCTTTCTGAAGGTTTTTACAGAGTGGTTTGTTCACTTATGATGTGCCTGATTTTCTAGGCTACAACATTTTGTTCCTAAAAAAATGTGAAAATGTAGGCCTATTTTTTTTTCTAGCTGTTAACAGTATTTTCTGATTTATGATAAAAAGCAACATCCAAAATCCCCTATGTAAAACCATGTCAAAAAATTTAATTAAATAAACAAATAAGAATTTTTAACCTGGCTTTATCCAATGTTTAGATTTTTGTTCTAGACATGTATACAAATTAGTGCATATGGATAATGCTTCATTTGCATATTTAAACAACATTTCAGAAAACTTGTAATACATTTTTTTTGTTGCAATACTTAATGTAATCAATCAACTGGGGGAAGTATGGGCATATCTATTAGTTATTTAAAAAAAATGTTTACCCTATTTACCTGGGGGTATTTTGCCTTAAAAGGTAGCTATTCTGAATTCCCCCCCATTTGATTAACTTACAAATAAAATAGATACAATTTGTCATTAGGATTTTAGGAGGCATATTTTTGCCGTACAACAAAGTGTTTACGTAAATTACCCTATTTATGAATCTTATTTAGTGTTTTTTATCTGATCTCCCACCCATCAATATTAAAAAGTTAGGCCTATTTGTGTAATACCGTTTGATGCCGCTAGTAGCCTATGTATCATCATACAGACAAAATTGTTGTTGAGCAATAAAGAAACACATACATTAAGAAGCTTTAAAATTATGGTTTCGACTGCAATTCGTTTTTGTTTTTTAGCAATTTTGCTAATTCAGAGCAATTAATGTGTCTACTTTAATATGTTATTATGATTTCTGTTCGACTCACCTTTAACTAAACTCTTGTTTTTTAAAACCCATTCAGTATCCATGCAGCGTCAATTAAAAACGTCTCTCTGGTATCTTAATATCTGAGCGAAATGATGTGGGAAGTTTGTGTAAATGCTATATATAGTCTAATGCCTTTCCATAAATGGGATGCGGGAGAGGCAGCATTCCGCATGGGTAATATTTTGCTTTTCATCAGCTGCTTTCATACAGGCGGGTAGAGGCTCATCTACCTCCGCGTCGCGCTCTTGTATTCTCCTGGGGTGAGTATGTCTGGACCCCTTATTTACACACTTATTAAATTATAAAGCAGAGTTGTCCTTGTAGAAACAGGTACTAACACGTTGAGGCTGGAGAAGACTTTTGAACTTTACCTTGGTTGGATATTGATCTCATGATGTTGCTTGAGTGGGAGCTGCACTTGACTTTGAAAGGATTCATAAAACGTTGGCAGTTAAAACATTTCCAGTGCTTTGTGAATATGGGTGAATTAATTGCTGGACAAACTTTGACATGGGTTTGTTTGTTTTTTTAAACAGTGTGTTGGTTGAAATAACCTTTAGAATATGCTATTTACCCCCTTCCCATGAATGATTGTAGATGCATTATGATCCATTCATTTTTACATGCCAAATATAACTGTTATTGAAAATTGTGCATAGGCCTATATATATATATATATATATGTGTGTGTGTGTGTGTGTGTGTGTGTGTGTGTGTGTGTGTGTGTGTGTGTGTGTGTGTGTGTGTGTGTTTTATATGCACAGTAGATGCCATTGTATGTGGGGTTCATTTGTTAATGTGAGGACGTAATGCTGCATTTGACTAAGCATGATTGTTTGTTTATTTGTTTAATTCTTTTTTTAAAGAAATTTGAGGAATGTTCTTTTGGGTTTTCTTGTTGAGATTGTCTTGCAGTGTAGTTTATTTGTCCCTGTTAGAAGATTAACGTTTATGAGAAGTGGTTCCATATTTCAGTACATATATGCAACAGTATACACTATACAGTAGAAATTACTGTGGAATACTGTACCCATCTCCTTGGACTGTCCGATATCCCAACCCCCAAACTCTAATTTTAAACTGCCATGATGTTTGTGTTCCCTGTGGCCCAAAGCACCAGAACACCCCCTCCTCATCATCTCCACAAACAGTTCCACTTTCCTAACACCTAAGTCTAATCAGGAGTGTGCCACAATTTGTGTTTACTGTAACACCGTGTCCCAAATAACTTTAAACACTGAAATCGGAAATTGAGGATAGGAATTTGTGCATATATCTATGCATTTTGTTTTGTCTTGTGTGCAAAGATGGTGCATGTTTTTGTTCCCGTTTTGATTCTTAGGTCCTTTGATGTTGCAATATGGCTGCAGTTGTAACCAGACACAAGCATTTCAGTCAAGAATACCTCAATACTGAGTCTAAATATGTTGTTAAAGAATACTCCAGGTAAGATGAAAAATTACAACAACTGACTCTTTCTTAGCACATATATTTTGTCACGCTTAGACTTTTTATGATGCAACAGGCCATGGAATTGTCTTAAGCAAGTCACAGCTAATCATGATGCTCACTGCAATACTAAAACTAATTGTAATAAAATAGTAACATCATTTATAACATATAATAACATTCTAATAAACCATATTACCAACAGTAGCTGAGCTATAACTGATACCGTCATGTCACTAATTTCCTCTGGGTAGTTGACATGAAATACTTTCGGGAAGTTGACATGGCCTGCAGTGTGACATGCTATACTCCATGTAAAACTATTTTCTAATTATGTGTGCAGCTTATATGACCTCATAATGGTGAGAGAGAGACTACAGTCTACATTTGTCACACTGCAGGACCATTTAATATTAACTAAAAAATGAAAGCAGATTTAAATGAAGGTCATTCAATCTAGTGAAGAACTGAAAAGAGAGGAGGAGTTATAGGGCCTGATTTATGCACTTTCACTTGACCACTCATATCAGTTTCAGAACATGCACTAAATACCCTGATACTGTCTGGAAACTTTTTGCTTTCAATATTTGCTACATTTTATAGAGACATGTTTTAAGTTTGACAAGCTTTCCATTTTGTCGTTAAAATCTGATGTTTTAGGATAATAAGAAAAAAATCGTTATTAAAATTATCAAAATGATTTTATTAGTTATAATATATTTCAAAATTAGTTATATTTTAATATATCAGGACAAAAGCAGATGCTGGTTTAAAGAACATTTTATGTTATAGAGAAGAGAATTGTGATGATGGCTTGTTTGCCCCTTTTGACCCCTTTTGAGGGGTCAAAAGGTCAGTATTCAGTTTCAAAACCATTGTGTAAACCATGTGTAAAGATAATAAATGTCAAATTTTGTATTTTATCAGATGTAATAAAATTCGGATTTTTTTTTTTTTAAGCGTTCTTTTAGTTTCTTTTGTTACTTGTTTCTTTCCACTGTAGACTGCCCTAAAACATCTCGGTTGAAATGCATGGAATATGTATGTTTGAATGCATATCAAAATCAGTAAACTGATTGATGACATGAAGCATTACTGACCCACAGTGATATAATGAATTATCTGATGAATCTTTTGTTTCTTTCATGCTGTTTGTACCGTTAACATTTTAATATACGAAAATGTGTGTGTTTTTAGCTCTGCGGCTGAAGAGGTGAAATATCAATACCAAACACAGAAGAGAATCCAGGGAGTGGTAAAGCCCTTTAAATAATCATTCCTTTCCTTTTAACAAACTTTTTTTTTTAAATAATACTTTCATTAGTCAATATGCATTTTAATGTGTTAAAGACATTTGCTGTTAGCTGTAGTGGGCCGAGTAAATCAGAGGTTAAATAGAACTGACTCTTTCTTACGACATAATTATATTTTGTCACACATAGACTTTTTATGATCCAACAGGCCATGGAATTGTTTGTCTCTTTTCAATAGGTGGATAGGAAGATGCCTGAAAAATACATCCGTGAGGAGTCCATGATCAGGGGCCCCAAGTTTTTGGTTAGACTGAGGTCCCACACAGTGTTTGAAAACAGTGCCATTAAACTTTTCTGCTCGGTGGAGGGATATCCCACCCCACACGTCAAATGGTGAGGTTTCTTTTCACAAACAGGCCTGCCGTGCTTCCTGCACTAGGGTTCAGTGCGCTTGCTCTCACTTATCGTCTGTGGTCATACAATGTAACTTTGAGTCACAGATCTAGCATTATATGTGGCCAGCCACAAGAAAGCATTTCTTTAAATAAATTAAAACTTATTTTAATTGCATCAGACACTTCATCACATTTTTAATCATATATGGAACAGGCCAAAGAAACGCTAAGTAGATTAGTTGTTTTTAAATCACAAACATTCTACAGGTTCAAGGATGATGTCATCTTGGACATTTCCTCTGGAAAGTACTTTGTGGAGAACAACGCTGGATTCCATGCCCTCACCATCCTCAAGTAATTCAAACTTTACTGTGCACTTTTTTGGATAGGGATGCAATGACAGAATGTGGTTTACTGATGATCTGTATTGAACAGAATGAGTGACAAACTTGAATGAGGACAAAATAAGTGACAAGACTCGGGTTGAGTGCTCATTACATTCTCACTTAGTTATTGGATGGCCACAGAAAGCAGGAAACTTCGAAAAACTTATGTAGGAATCTCAGGAAAAACATGTTGCATTTCTCCCGAAATAAATAAACACATTTGCATAGTATTTAGACACAAATAGTATTTAGGCACAAATGTGCCTTAGTATTTTTTTTGTGCAATTCCCAGTGGTTATCACATTTTTTTTTTGCCTTTATGTAAATGATTATTGTAATAACAGTTTATAATAATTAAATTAACAGCGGTACAACAAATACATACATAATGTGAAAATAATTCATCATTTTTTACAGTAATAATATAATAATATTCTAAAACTTTTTAATAATTCAGAAATATTCCACATTTTTTCATTTCAAATAATTATTTCTTTATAACATATTTTGTCGTGCAATTTGACCTCAAAGGATATGCTCTTAGATATTAGAGATTCACCCTCTAAAACACATTTAAATGTTACTAAAAAGTGAACTTCCACAAAAGGAAGTCATGTCAATGGGATTGCATGTGAACTTTTCCAATTTAGTCCAGGGCTGCGCCGCCCACGTCTTGAGCTGCTGTCAGCTGTTCATGTCAAAGTGCTGAGTCTGGTGTCATCTGACACTCCGGCGCCTTACACAGAGATGACTTTCACTGCTGTCACCCTGTCAGTCCCACAAAACACTCACCCTGGCCCTTATGTCACTTTCCTGATGGCTTCTTGCATTCAGAGGCCAAATCTCACAGGTGAATCTTGCTGTTCCGCATTTCCTCTAAAATGACCAAACCTTTCACTTTTTGACAAACAGCCATGCTCCTCAAGACCGCAGGGGCTTAGAGAACGTCTCTAATATAGTACGGTCACGCCGAAGGTCACATTACAGTCTTCTCATTTTCCTTTCCCTTGCGTCTCGTGTTTGCCATTCAAGCCTTAGAGGCTCCCGTGTTGAACACGTTTCGAAAGCAGGCGCTAGTCGTCTACATTAGCATTTAGTTTGGAGCAATTATCCTCTTGACATTAGAGCATTAGTTAACTGCCAATTTATCCATCATGATGGGGAAGCACTTTATGTGCTTTCCAAATGTCAATTAGGAAATGACTGTGGCATATATCCAATCAAATAGCAATCATGTTGATTATTTATTGACTGATTCATTAGTGGAGTGGGTGAAGACAGTGTTGTGGTCCAGTCGTGTATTGATTGAAGTTGTAGACACCTGTGAATGAGTTATACATGTTTTTGTAGGTGTGCAACTGATGACACTGCAATGTACATGGCAGTAGCCTCAAACTCGCACGGACAGGCTTCCTCCCAGGCCTCCGTCATTGTGAAGAGTAAGCTTTTTTCTCCTGTTTCCTGGTATCTAAGCATCCTTACAATAAGATCAAATGTGCAGGAGAAGCAAAAAGTCTACTAATTACAAATGTGTTTTTTACCCAAACATAGACTGTGATACCTTTCTTTAAAAAGTCCATATATACTCTGGTAACACTTTACTGTTCCTTCATTAATGAATAACTACGCAGGAACAAATGAGTGACGCACTATTAACATTCTAGTAACTACTATTAACTAACAAGAAACTCTGAATAACGAATTAGTAAGTAATAGTGCTCAGTCGAATGTGGCATTTCACTATTAGCTAATCAGTAACTACATTTATTTTTCATAACTCCCAGTGAACTACTATATACAGGTTCATAATTAACATGAATAATGTATCATTTTTAATAAAAGGTAACAGTAACCCACTAGTAATGACTAAAGTGTTACTACATCCTTCTTAAGAAACTACTAATCATTTTGATCAGTATTCTAAAGTGAAAAACATAATAACTAGGCCTACCTAATATTGTCTGAAGTCATTGTAAGCTTTTGAGATTTTTGTAAGATTTTGAATAGTAATTCCTTCCGATGTGTTCCCATGATCTTCACTTACTTTAGAATACTGATCCAAATAATTAGTAGATATTTTGGTAACGCTTCCTTTTACAGTCCTGTTACCCATGTACTTACTATGTACTTATTATAGTAATTATAATTACTGGGTAATAACTAGGTACTAACCCTGAACCTACCCCTAACCATAATTGTTGAGTCATTACTATCCAAAACCTTACAAAAACCTTAGTAGTTCCTTTAGAAGGATGTAATAACACTTGATTCATTACTGGTTACCATTACCTTATATTATACATCATGCATTATTAATATTAATTATGGACCTGTTAATAGTAGTTCTTAGTAGTCTTCAGTGAGGTATGAAAAATAGTAGTTACTGATTAGCTAATAGTGAACTACCACATTCGACTGAGCGCTATCACTTACTAATTCGTTAATCAGTTTCTTATTAGTTGATAGTAGTTACTAGAATGTTAATGGTGCGTTACTCATTTGTTCCTGTGTAGTTATTCATTAATGAAGGAACAGTATTCTGAAGTGTTACCTATACTTCTTGTTGTGTCTGCTTTATAGGGTGCAAGGAGGAAGAGAAGTCCAGTCCTTATTCCTGGATGCCTTACCAGTGTAAGTGGGAAAGCCTCCTTTCAATAAAGAGTGAATAACTGGGATGATTTAAGGTCACGAAAGAAAGGAACTGTTTTGTTGTTTCTCAGATGCCATTTTACCTGAAATCAAGTACACAAAGATTAACATCACCTTCACTGAAAAGTTTGACGTGACTTTTGGAAAAGAAGGCGAAAAGGCCACCTTGACCTGCAAGATGACCATTAACCCCAACCTTGCTAACCTGCAACCTGAGGCGCTGTGGTACCGAGATGGTAGGAAGTGGCCACCACAGTTTTTTTAACATATCTACGCAGTTATTGTTAAGAATAGTTCATAGGTCCCTTTTTAAGCATGACATTTTTGTGCACTGCAAAAATAATGACTGTTTTTAAATCCCCTATTATTTACTGACTGACAAACACGTGCCATTGGTTGAGCCAGTCTTTTATGTCCGGCTGCTTAAACAATTCCGCTTTTTTTAATTACAACCTTCGCCTATGGGCAACAGTGTAAATATTACAATAAAGTTAACATGCTTTCTTTTTTATTTGGCCATAATGTTTCCTATAAAGAAGCGGGATTTTTCATGCATTAAAACATTTAAAATAATAGTAAAAAGCATGACAGCCTTCACACAATGTCTTTAGTCTGTATTCAGAGGCCAATAAAATACAGAAGTGTTCAGTGCATACCAAACCTGTTCACAGTGCAAAGACTTAAAAAAAAAAAAAAAAGATTTGTATTTGTATTTTGTATGATGTAACTTTTTGGACCTAAGCAACAGGATTGTGAGAGCATACATCTCACATTTGTGGCGCAGTTGTTGACATTGCTTTTAAAATATTTTAATAAAATGTGTTTAAGTAATTATTGCTATTTATTGTTATACTGATGAATATAAATTCCTGCTTTTAATGGTAGTCTTTTAATGATAGTTAATGATAGTGAAGAAAACTAGTATTTTTTATTCTAGATATTATGTTACTTCTTCAAATGCATAAATATGAAAGTATTTTTTATTCTAGATATTATGTTACTTCTTCAAATGCATAAATAATGAAATATATATTTTGGTATGAAAGGCTGAATAATAATAACACACTTTTATTATTTCACAAAATTTAATAAAGCTATTTAACTGTCCTAATGACAACTGCAACTGATTCATTGTTGTGTCATTCACCCCGGTCAGATATTCATTTTAAAGTTGTTTTGTAGGTATTTGTTTTGCAGTTGAGTCATGTACTGAAGAAATAGCTTTTTATGTCTAGTTGTAGTTTATGACTCATTTCACTCCAATCTCATTATATTCTACAAAAGTAATAGTTTCATTTTCTCTCCTCTGATACCCCATGTCGTTTTTTTTTGGCCCTCCAGAGCATCTCTTGAAAGAGTCGAAGTGGGTGAAAATGGAGTCTGGGGGAGGTGTTGCCAAGCTCACGCTTACTCAACTCGCTAAGGATGATGAGGGTCTTTACACCCTCCGCATGGTGACAAAGGGAGGTGATGCGGTCCACAGGGCTTACGTATACGTTGATGGTAAAGAGTTATGAACTTTTCCAAGGCTTGATGGAAAATCTTATGTGATTCTTTTGATGGCCTTTAAAGGTCCAGATTTGCATAATTCATCTCTGACAATCTCATATAGAACATACATCTGTTTCAGAGTGATTCCCCTTAGTGCATCAGTGATGTGTAGGAGTCATTTTGCCTTGACAGATGGTCCACCTCCAGTTCCTCAAGCTCCCGGAGCCCCAATGGACATCAAGATCCATGACGCTAATAGAGATTATGTCATCGTGTCCTGGAAACCTCCTAACACCACCACTGAAGGACCCATCATTGGATACTTTGTTGACAGGTGACTGCGCTGACTAAGGTCTGCCCAATGGGAGTTGTTTTATTGAATACATTTATTTAAATTATCTTGATACAGTGTCCTCAAAAAAGTTTTTGGACGGTTTAAAATGTGTGAATGTTGTTGCATTAGATAAAATATTAAATATCTGCTAGATTTTTTTTCCTCTGAGCTAATTTCTGAGCCAGTTTTTCAATGATTTTTAATCAACACAACATGGATCCACTAAACACTAGAATTAGTCACTGCAAACCTGGTTCTCTTAGAAGGGAACAAGACGCTGTGTCTGATGATGATATGGGAATTCCTCTGCATGATTGTGTCTGAAGCACATCACTTATTGGTGGAACATCATCCCGTGACACATGACTTCAAAACCAGGAAGCAATAAGGGGTACACGTACCAAACATCGTCAGTTTCTGATTGTCTGGAGGAAGTCGCTCACAGGCATGGAGGATGAATGGCAAGGTGACGTAGCATCTCATTCCCTTCTCAGGGAACCAGGGTTACAGTGTAACATTTGTAAGCCCTCAAATGTACCAATATTTTAATTTAAACCCCCAGAATATGATTTTTTTTCAAAGATTTGAGTCAGGTACTTTGTTTCTTTGTTGACTACTTAAATAGCCGTTTAAATAAAACATCCGCAACACTCCACCCCCGCCTCTTATACATCCAGAATACCTATTGCACGACTATGGACAAATGAGCAAATCTCCATAAAATCTCACTGATTGACAAAATAAAATATATATATATATATATATTTTTGGTGTTTTATAGCTTATGTTTGGGTTCAATTTAACACTCCCATGGATGGTCTCAGGATGCCTCACTGTTGGCACGACACTGGACTCATGGTAGCGTTCACCTTTTCTTCTAGTCAAGTCAAGTCACCTTAATTTATATAGCGCTTTTAACAATACAGATTGTTTCAAAGCAGCTTTACAGTGATAATAGGAAATTATTGTAACAGAGATGGTTTTGGCTTTACAGCAGCTCTAGAATAAATAATAATATTGTCCAGCTAAAGTAAGTTTTTAATTGCTTTACTTCCGTTGTAAAGATCATTAGTTATTAACTTAGGGGGCGCTTACACGACACCATTTTAACTGAAAACAGAAATGCCATTGCTAACACAAGAATAAAATGATTGGAAGCACTTCTTCCCTCCTTTTATAGCAATCACGTGCTGATGAAATGATTAGTAAAATTATGTTATCTGGTCATTTTTGTCTGGGCCATAAACAGTGAAATTTGTGGTTTTGTGATAAAGTTTATTGGCCAATATTTTTTTTTTTAAATATGTTAAATGCATTTGATCACTCTGCAGAATAATCTAGAAAAATCATACATCATTTAATCAACATCAAAACAACTGAAGCAGCGACATTTTCAAATTTGGCCACAGCTGTACCCTGTTGATTAAGTGGGAAGCAGGACCATAATAACGTTCCATTTTTGGAAGGTAATTTGTCTGTTTGTGGTTGAGAGACAACATGAGGGTCAACACTAGGGGCCCTATCTTGCACTCGGCGCAAATGACTTTGTACACTGACGCATGTATCATTCCTATTTTGCACCCACGCAAAGCGGGCTTTTCCCTCCACAGACACACGTCGGTTAACTAAGAAATACACTTGCGCTCCCCGGGGCGGTTCAGCGCAAAGAGGAGGCGTGTTCCGGCGCAAACTTTCCCTCATGCTATTTTGCTGTTCTATAAAACAAATGCGCCACTGACCAGAAAAAACCTAGTCTAAAGTCAGTGGCGCGTTGCGCGTTGTTCATAATGCTATTTTAAGGGCGCATGCTTGGCCATAATCAATGTAGCGTGTGCACAACGCGCATACACTTTGATTCTCTCATCTAAGCAGCAGTTCATACATTATTACGATAGATAGATAGATAGATAGATAGATAGATAGATAGATAGATAGATAGATAGATAGATAGATAGATAGATAGATAGATAGATAGATAGATAGATAGATAGATAGATAGATAGATAGATAGATAGATAGATAGATAGATAGATAGATAGATAGACAGACAGACAATTTATTATAAAAGCATTCGTAGCTTACACATTTACCCAAATTATCATACCACTGTTTAACAGAAGTTAATTTGGGTGGGATTTCTCCATCCCCAATGTCACTTCTCTGTGTTTTACGGCCCTGACGAGAACGTCGGTCTCCTTGGCTGTGAACCGCTCCTGGCGCGCGCCTGGCAAATCCGCCGTTATAATAGGAATCCGCTTTAGAACAAGCGCGCCTGCTCTTAAAGGGAATGTGAGATGACGCTCTGATTGGTTTATTTCACGTTACGCCCAAACCACACCTATGAATAATGAAGCTACTTCAGACCAACCCCTTTTAGATTTGCGCCAGGAGCAAAAGGCATTTATCCCGCCGGGAAAATAGCAACAGCGCCGGGATCCGCCCACAAAGTTACTTGCGCTTTGCGCTTTGACACTTGCGTTTCAGATCGTTAAAATAGGGCCATAGGAGTCTTATGCTTATCTAAGGAGGATGCCTCATAATCAGGGTCCTCCTCAACATTATCGTCTGTCTCACACACATCACTGTCACTGTCAAAGAATTGTGACACAATCTAATTGACAGAAAACATTTGCTTAGAGGTCATTTTCAATTGAGAAAGCATAAAGAGAGAGCTCACAGAGCACAATGAGAAATGGTTTAGAAGGCTTCTGTGGAAGCTTTCATATGTTTGCTCCTCCCCTACGTTTGCTCCTCCCTTATGTTATGTTTTCCCCTCCCCCACGGCACAAAATATCAAAGTTCTTGCACAAATATGTTTTTCCTTCCCTGGAAATATATAATTGGCACCTTCCACATTATACCAATATTTGGTTGCTGATCACCATTAACAAAATCATTATAGTAACACCTGTATAAAATCTAGTGATCATGGCATTTATTTTGTATAATTTACAATTACCTAGCCTTCTAGTTATTGTGCTTTGGTTGCATTCTGGTGGCCCTATTAATACATTAGACATGACAAAATACCTCCATAGCGGTAAAGACTAAAGAGTATCTTCAAGTGGTACCGAGTGGCATAAGACTTGCTAAACACGCATTATAATGTAATGTAATGATCATGATAAAACAGATCCTCGCGCACATTCGACCCGGAGACTGTTTATAGCGGTGCGTGGATCTGAAAGACGCATACTTTCACAGGCGTTTACCGAGATTCGTGTTCGAAGGTGTCACGATCCGTTCACGAAAAGTAGCCTATAATGCAGTGCTTTACCCCTTAAGGACTCAGTAGGGAGCGCGTTCTGGACTACTTAGACAACTAATGCATTTATAGCACAACCTTCTGTGTTCTGCGTCTTTTCAGTAGCGGTGGTTTCAGCTGTCTGCCCTAATATTGTGCGTGCACTTCGCTCGTCCCGCGGATTTATTCCGGACGCTGTGTTTTGTATGCATGCTTTTAACAGCTGTTCTGATGTTGTATGCACCAGCACTTCTTGCTTCATTCTGCTGTATGCGACAATATAACCTTGTTGCTTCATTATTATCACTCTGTGTCTGTGATATTAGTCCCGCATCGGCTCGACCGTGTTCAATGCGGAGCTGAAGGCGCCGGCAAAGTTTTGGGACTCTGCCAGCTAGATGCATGATTGTTTCAACTAGGTCCGGTACCCGAACTGGGTGAGGCGGGGCTTTAGTTCTTTGTTGTATTGACCTGCTTCGGTATGTGTAAAAGTTTTCTGTCAACTCTGCATATATCCTTCGCGATCGATATCGCACGTTTGTCGATGGAGCGGGTTAAGAGCATACTAAATGTTCTGACCGCATTAGTGCAGGACAAAGCTCTGATGATATCAGAAGTTACAGGGACGGATGGTAGCTGTACAAAGTACACAGGCTACATCGTAATTTTAATTTTAATGGAGAGTAGCCTAAAACAAAGGCAGAACACCGTATAATCTGATAGGTAGCATTATTTGATAGAACGCCAGCACCGTAACTTCATATTGACGCGCGGCTAAACAAAGGCAGAGTGCCGTAACTCGATATGAGCGTTCCAAAACTAAGCCAAAGAGCCGTAACAACAGTTACGGTGTTCTGCCTTGGTTTCTCATGGGCTTTTGGAAGTTACCGTTAAGACAAACCATTATTTTCTCGAAAAAACAACGGAATTGACTCAAGATACTTATCCTCATGATAAAGGAGGTCTTGAATGTGCAAAAAATCTCAATAACTCATTTTCGACCAAAAACGAAGTTACGGTCTTTTGCCTTTGCACGGCAGTATGGTTATGTCAGGTCGTAAGCGTTCTGTGACAAGAATCGAGGCTTCTTCCACATCACTTGGGTACAAAGACATCTGTGCATAACCCTGCTAATGCGAAATGGGTTGCCCCTCTGGGAAAACCCCTTGGTCTTGAGCCATCACTGCAATGGTTTCATGTACATAAGGCAAAAAGGAATCAAGTTGGACACAGCTGCCATGAGTCCCAATGGTCTCTGAAACTGATTCACAGTGATACCTTGGCCTAGCTTGATCCTGCCTATGATTGAAAGGATCGAGCAGGAGACAGATGTGCCTGCATCGTAGTCAAATCCCACACAACCCCTAGTGGTTCTCTGTATTGGAGAAAGCACACTCTTCTTGATGTTCAGTCTTAACCCGATTCAGTTGGCAGAGATCTAAAATCTAAAAGCCTCCCAGTGCTGAGACATCCGCGGACATACTGAAAAAAATAACCCCTAAGGGTCGGCCATTGCGTCGGCGCGACCACCTCGTTTCTTTTTAGATAAGTTTTATACATAATTCGAAACCATTAAGTGTTAATTTGTGTACACTCACAATTCGCAAAATAGAGAAAAAAACATGATGGCTCTTCCGTCTCTCGAAGTGAAGTCCATTCCAAAACACATCCGAAAATGAACTGTAACTTAGCGAATACTTGCCATACAGACATGAGAAATGTCTTTAGAGAGCTTGAAGTCTCTACTTTTGTATGAATGATTCATGAGTGATTCATATAAAAACAAATATTCTCTTTTTATGTAATCCGTATGAAACCAACAAGAGGTACTGTTTCTCAAGCGTTTGCTCATTAGCCGAAGCGAGTGCATTTTGAGTCATATGTTCGGTGCCCTGAAGCGGTTGACCGGCAGGGAACAAGCGAACATACCCCTCCAGTACCCTCCTCAAAGGGGGGAGCTTCCCAGACCTGCAATGTCGCTGGGCGGACACTGAAAAAATTAACTCGCTGGAAACTGCTGAACCACAAAAAAAGTTGGTGGGGGTGGCAGAATGTCTCCCTAAAGGCACCAAGGAGAGGACACACTGGTATAGGCCACTTCTCCCTGGGTGGGGCCTGATCCATCTGGCATCAGGGCCTCTAAACCGAAGCCGCCCCACAGAGACATCGGCTTAGAGAGCCATCCGGAGCCCCTCAGAGCTCGAAGCAACACTCTTGTTTTTGCTGTTGCCGATGTAAGGAGCTAGTAAACGGCTGGGGGTGCTCCCGCCCGGCAGCCCCTGGGACCGGAGTCAGGCGAGGGAAGAATCTCTGGAATGCTGCCACCTGCTTTTTTGCCTCCTAAAACCTCTCGACGACTGCATCAATGAAGAGACCAGGAGGGGAAAGCAGTGTCTGCTGATATAACCGCGATCCGTGCATCAGTACTGTGGTTGCAAAGCAAAGCAAGCAGCGCTGACTAGAGCCAACCTTGCGGAACAAACCGAAGAAACTAACCCCCAATTTTCACCAACTGCGGAACGGCTGCGGATCCGCTCAGGAACGGCGGCGGAGTCAATAGGTTTCCATTAAAGTCAATGTGTGCATTTTCACTGACTGCGGAATGGCTGCGTTCCGACTCCGTCCCAGCTCCGGCGACCGCAGCAGTCCGGAGAAGATACGCAGAGTTTCTATTTTTGCCGGATGCCGGAGAGCGCCGCTGGAAGTCGAGCACATAAACTAAATAAAACATCCGGTAATTTCCAAAATAAAAATATAGTTTTCTCTTTTCCAACAAGAACAATAGTTAACTTTATTTACACAGCCTACTACTTTCCCAATACATTAAAAAAGGAACCCAAATAAACATTTAGCATTTTATAAATTGATTATATTTAATTTTAAATATTGTACTAGAATCACAATAATCTCCACAAAAAAGGGAGATCAGCAGGTCAGCACATAGTTGTTTCCCCTGTACTCCTCTGGATGGAAACAAACTGTTGCTGGTTTTGTGGTTCTGTTTATAGAAAACTAGCCTACATCCTGTTATATCGCATGATCAAACGTAAATTCGTGAGATATCGTGTGTCCTCGTGACTTCAGCTGTCAGTCATGGCCGCAGCCGTTCCGCAACAAATCCGTATCTGGTAGGTATTGAAGGACGGCGGAGCACGGATCCGACACGCAGCGGAGCCGATCCGCAGCCGTTCTGCAGTTGGTGGAAATCCGGGGTAAGCCGACTGACGCTCAAAAACGGCCCAACATTGCCCAATGGCCGACTGTCGGCTTGATGTTTTTCTGGCTTTAGATATCTCACTAATTAAAACACCTGATTCAACTCATCAACTTCTTATTACATTGAATAGGGTGCAAGCCTCGGCCGGTTTAGTCACAATGGGGTCAGATTATACTGTGTCAGAGTTAGAAGTATTTAATACAATATAAAATACAATATTTTCATGAGACTTAAAACAACACAGTAAAACCAGGACGCCTCAAGCTGTTAAAAGCATAACACCTTACCCTTAAAACAATCCGAATGAATCCCAGTGTATTGATATTCCTAATACACATTGTGACCTCTAATTGTTTGCCATGCTGCTTCCTATATGCAGATTACTTCCTATTTCCTGTCATGTGATCACTCACATGACAGGCAGACCCATAATCATTTTAAGTATTACACACATAAAACAGATTAGATAAATAAAATTGACTAAAATGACTAAGACAACATGTAAACCTATTTAAACTCTAATTTACATAAAATCATTATAATATATAGAAAAGTTGAAACGTGTCATATGTGACAGTGTCACAAGGGAGATATCAAAACCATTCTGGGATGTGGATCCTAGTTGAGAAACACTGGTAGTGTGCTCGTGGTTTCTGTAAAATAAATGTATTTTGTTTTGATATTCTGTTGTCTAAGACAAAGACATTCATACATTTTAAAGTCCTTTAAGTGTTATATTGAATTGAAGTAGCTTAATTGTAGGTTCTCTGTAATACAAAAGAAAGTCCCTTCCTCAAAGTTTCACATATTTTTGTCTGGAACATAGGTTACTTTGCATATGCTAGTACAGACTGTGATTAGTTTGTTCCCTGTCCTTTTAACTACAAGCTGAAATGTACTCTTGTCGGACGGTAATCAGACTAAGTGATGCATGGATCAGCAATTATGTATGAATGCTCTTTAGCTCAAATCATGTCCTCAGAATGTAAAAGTGGGTTGTAATTTTCAGTCTTTCAGAGTATTGTGGAAGTAATGATAGGAATATCTAGTTTACTGTCCATATTTGTTGTTTTTCATGTTTTTCCTTTCACTCTTGTTGGGCAGATGTGAAGTTGGAACAGAGAACTGGGTGCAGTGTAATGACTCTCCTATTAAGATCTGCAAATATCCCGTTCAGGGTCTGTTTGAGGGACACTCTTATTACTTTCGTGTGCGTGCCGTCAACTCGCGTGGCATTGGCAGACCCTCCAGAGTATCTGAGCCCATTGCTGCTCTGGACCCCACAGAGTTTGAGAGACTTCATAGTAAGCAAGAAAGTCCTCATACAGTTATGTTTATTTACTAGATTTTGTGTTAATAATGCTCCTTATGTACTGGTGTTTGTTTCAACAGCCACAAAACTTGGTGGTAGACTTGACGTTGTGACTTACTATGATGACCTTGAAGGTACTGTATAATCCTGGTTTATTTACAGAAAATTTTTAAAAATGTAAAAGTGTGATTTGTATGTCTATTAAAGTCATGGAAATGTATGTAATAGATTAAAATAATAGAACCATCATGGAAATTTCAATAATATTTAATTCTTTCATTTGGAACGACCCAACTAAGAAAATGTCCCTGTACCTCAGTGCCCTTCAATTGCTCAACAATGACACCCATACTGCATCCTTAAATATTGTGTGACGGAACTGCCTTAAGATATCGTTTCGTTTGTTCACTCAGTCACTCTGGCTTTGCATATGTAATCTGTAATAGATGACAACAGCTGTCACTTTTTGCTTTCCCCCCTTATTCTTTTCATGGTTTTCGCTTTCAAAATTAGCAATAATTATCCAGCCCATAATTGGTTCTCTTCTGAGAGATACTGATTAGTTTTTGATGAGAATTCCATCAGGAAGGGAACGTACAAACATCTGTGGTTCTTTTTCAAGTTGAAATGAACACATCAACCAGTGTCACCCATGTGCACATCATATACACGTGTATATGTGTGTACAGATAACAATAGCAGCAACAGCAGCAAAGATGATATTTATATCAGTCCATAATATTAAAGTTGCTTTTAAAGCTAGTAAAAATGGTGGGATATTTCCTAGTGTGTGTGTGTGTATTGGTGTGTGTCTATGTGTTCAGGGTAGAACAGTAATTCTGTTTGATGTGGTTTGCCTGCAGCTGAGGGAAAAGCTCCAGGACCTCCCTCTAAAGTCTGCACTTCAGAGACGGACCGAACATATGTTGTGCTCAGTTGGGTCCCTCCAGTCTACCATAGCAAAGCCCCCATGTGGTATTACATTGAGAAGGTTAGTTTCAGCTCACTGCCAGACGTTAACCCAGACGAATAGTCACAAACTTTATTTCCGGAGTTTGGTTGGTTTTCTTCTTACATCACCTTTAATCAATTAAGAAACATCTAACAAATTAAAATAAGAATATGTTCTTATTTGCTCAGTTCTCCTAGTTATCAGTTGTGTCAGATTCTCTTCCTTCAAAAAATAAAAACAAAAAAATAAATGAGTCAATATACTAAGAGCAGAGTGTCACTGTCATGGACTATTACTGTGATATTCCTTTAGTTCCTGTTTCCCCGCTCTGTTTAGTTTTGGTTTTCTTGGCTACTGATTATGTCTTCATTTGTTCCTATGGTTATGTTTGATTTGCTCCTGTCTGTCATTATGTTCATCTGGTATTTATACTCCCTGTAATGTTCAGTTCAGTGTCGGCTCTCGTTTATCATTTAAGTGGTTTGCGTTTATTTGTTGCGTTTATTTAGTTCCTGTGTTTGTTGGTTTAAAATAAAGACTCTTTACTTGTATCTTCGTGTGTGCTTACCATAACAAATAACACACAGATCTACAAAAATTACTTGATGAGAAATGTTGAGTTCATATTGGGAACTATGACTTGTGATTGTAGACTTTTGTATATTGTGGCAAATACATTGTCAATCATTTGGTCTATTGCTCTATTTAATCTCATTACTGTCTAGGAGTATTTGCAGTCATTTTGCCATCTTATTTTATAATAAATATACGTGTAATAGTGTGTTTTTATTGGCTGTGGTCTTATACAGCTTCAAGTCGGAGCAGGATCGTGGCAGAGAGTAAACACTAAAGTACCCATCAGATCACCTCGCTATGCCGTCTTCGACCTGTCCGAGGGAAAGGACTATCTCTTCCGTGTGCTATCCGCTAATATGTACGGCATCAGCGATGCTTCTGAGCCTACCGATACCATAACAACACTTCAACTGAAGGGTAAATTCTCTAAATTCAGCATGTCAAAGGCCACCACACCACTGATGTATTTAGTAAAGATATTGAAATGTTGAAACTGTTGCATATGAAATGGAATATAGATCTTTGAAGTTTGGTCAGGCTGTGACTTTGATGTTGGTTTTAAGGCAGTAATGAACTTTTATCTGCATTTCTGTAGTGGAACTAATTCATGCATGATAGGTCATTAAGGGATTGATTAGGCTGGTTGGTGAAGTCACCCCTGAAATGAAGCTCTGTGTTCATTCAGGTGTGCCCTCAGCTCCTGGACAAGTCGTTGCAACCAGGGAGACAGACACCTCTGTTCTAATTCAGTGGGCACCTCCAAAGGATCCCAATAACCTGATTGGATATTACATTGATTCTTGCGTGAAAGGATCTAAGGACTGGACCTCAGCCAATCACAAGCCCCATAAGCAGACCAGGTATGTGCCCAGTCAAAGTGAAATTATTTAAGTCAAATTCCACGAATAGAGACAAAAGGGTCTGAAACTCAGGTCAGAAAAAAACTCTTGAAAAATGTTTAACATTTAATGAACGTAAATAAAATAAAACAAAATATTAAAGAGAATATTAAAATGAATTAAATTAGGGTATAACACTTTATTTCAATAGTCATTTCAATAGTCACTTTAGACATTCTACTTACTATAAGTAACTTTGCAACTACATGTCAACTAACTGTCATTAGATTATGACAGTTTTGTTTTGTTATTTTGACCAGTTGTTTTAACTGAAATTTGGAAGACATATAGATAAATATTAGGGCTGTAACGATACACCAAACCCACGATTCGATTCGTATCACGATTTTTGACCCACGATTCGATTCGTATCGCGATTCTATCACGGGGGCGTGGCTTGAGGGGGCGGGGCTTGTGGTGAAAAAAAGAGATTTTGAGAGAAGAAGAAAAATACCGGTATTTTTATTGAATAACATTAGGAAAAACCTGTATAATCGAAACAGCAAAGAACAATAATAACTATGCAAATTATTAAACTATACTAGGCAGTGTAGGCTGCTGCTTTTGGGTTGTGTTCTGTACTCCAACTAAATTGATTTCGGGATGGTGCCGTAAGATATGCATCTGACCACCAAAACTTTAAGATTAAAAAAGACGGTTCATTCATATTATTATAAAAATGGGAGAATAGTAAAGAAGTGTTTGGAGAAGTGGAAATAGTAATTTAAAGATGTGGTAGTTCTCAGGGCCTGAATTTCGTTTTGGAAAATGGGTGATGATTTTCAACTTTAGATGATTCTTATGGGGGGGGGGGGGGGGGGGATTTTTTTTGTTTGAGGGGGAGAAAGGGGGGGCATTTTTTCCAAACAAAATTATTACATTTATCTTGCCTAAATGTTTGCGCTCATTGCATTTTTACAATGGGGTAATAGCCTTGTTAAGAATTTACACATCACAAGGAAGCTTGATTTAAATTGTTTAATTAAATGTATTTTAGTCCTGAATAAATTAAATACATAGGCTATTAATCCTGATTCCTTTAACTTAAAGCCATCTTTTGTTGTTTTGACAACAAAATTAATGACAGACACATATGGCTGCCGTCACTTTAAGAGCTAGTGCACGGATCCTGTGTTCATTATACTGGCATGCGTTTTATGCTTATTAAAGACAAAACCGACTATATTTAGAGTATAGCCTACTCATAAAGACCGAAATTGACAATTTTGTGTGTTAGAGCAATATAATCCGCGAAAAATAGTTACTAGCCAGCTGTTTTTGAGGCGGATTTTCTATGAATGTCCGCATAGAAAATAATCTCAGAGAGCGCGCGAGCACTGATTAGTTTAAAATCGCTTGAATGTTTAAACTGGTAAGACTTAAAAAGACTTCAGTCACGATGCACTGCTGGCCCGATTGTGCAAGTGAATATTCCGTCATGTCTCGACCTTACAGTCTATGGTCCCGACTCCACAACGCGAGTGTGTATTATCGCCGCAGCGCTTGATGCCTGCCTTGGACAACACATTATGAGAAGAGATAGAGGACGAAATGGGAGACCTGCGGGAATGATTAGAATTATGCGCAATACCCGCAATCCCGCGCCGAAATTCGAGCCCTGGTTCTGGACAGGAAGGATAACTCTGGGAGTTGGAAGGGGTGTGATCGCGATTCTGCCTTCTCACATCGCGATACAGGATCGTGGACCTGAGTATCGCGATTTCGATTTTATATCGTGTATCGTTACAGCCCTAATAAATATAAATAGTAAATCCAGAGAAACTGCTAATTTTGCAGTGGTCTCTTATTTTTTTCCAGCTATTTGCTTATTTTACAAATTGACAGAGTAGGCCTACATAAAAACAAGCTATCGCATATGTAATCATATGCACATGTAAAATAATGTGATCATCAACATTAAACTCTATAAATGAAAACTGCCTAATGATACTGAATGAAATGTCGACCGAGGATGAGCTATAGGACTGTGAAGCTTTGGGGGTGTTGATGGACTATCTACTCCATCTATGTTTTGATCCATTTCAGATGTATTTGTACCCTATTTGTGTGAAGAGCTTCAGATTTAATCACAATCCTTTCAATTCCTGATCAGACAACATGTCCATCACTAATAAGCTGAAGGTATCCTTAGGAATTGCTAAATTGTCAAACTATGAACTCTATATCCAAAAGTTCTGAGATCAGCACAAAATGTGGCTCACAGTCACAGATACAAATTTTAACGTTGATATTTATTAAAATATACTTTTATATTTTATATGCATTTTATTTTTTGCTTTTACTAACATTTGTAGATTTTTAACTAAACTTTACATTTGTACCTCTTATGCTGTTAAATAAGTCATCGGACACCAGGGTAAATCCGATTCATGGAAAGTGCCCTAAAGTGCATGACAGTGGGGGAGAGTGGGGTAAAGTGAGACATTTTTTACATTTGCTCTCCTCTAAGCGAGCTAAAATGATATATCAGTAAAATTTACACATTTCCCATTAATTCAGGATGTTTCCTAGCAATGGAAATTATCAGAATGTATTCAGGACGAAGGGCAGTGAAAATATGATTGTTTTTTAAAAAGTGGTCTTGTGTCTCACTTTACCCCAGCTTAGGGGTAAACTGAGACAGACCAGAGAAATCAAGGGGGTAAAGTGAACCAGCTGGGGGTAAACTGATCCACTTACTTTTTATCAGAGCCCTGGCTCCCTGGAAAGCAAACGACTGGTATCAGTCAGGAGTGAGTATGGGTGTGGTTACGAGGAGAAAAGTGATCTCGACAAATGCCTCCAACCTAGGTTGGGGGACCCTTTACACAAGGCAGGCTCGTCTCTGGCCTATGTTCAAGCCTGGAGAAGCACCTACATATAAACTGTCTAGAGATGAGAGCAGTCGCTCTATCTCTGAAAGCCTTTCTCCCGTACTTAAAAGGCCACCACGTCCTGGTCCGGACGGACAACATGGCAGTGGTGTCCTATATAAATCGACAGGGCTGTCTCAGGTCAAACAACCTGCACACCATGGCCAAAAACCTCATCTTATGGGCTCAGCACAACCTGCGCTCCCTAAGGGTGGCGCATGTGCCAGGCATCCTGAACCAGGGTGCGGATATGTTATCAAGAGACAATGTTCCCCCAGGGGAATGGTCTCTTCACGCAGCCAAACCGATTAATCTGCCGTCCCCGTCCTGACTTGTGGGCCCTTTATGTATGGCCCCTCAACAGATACCCGGGTGTCTCCCGGAAAGGGTGCTGAAAACGATCACTGAGGCAAGAGCGCCGTCAACTAGACGCCTCTACGCTCAGAAACGGGTGGTATTTTCTGGCTGGTGCGCTGCACGGAGCCTGGACCCCTATTTGTCCGAAGTATCGAGTATACCCGCCTTCTTACAAGGGCGTTTGGACGCGGGTCGTACCCCCTCCACGTTCAAAGTGTATGTGGCTTTGATCAGGGGATCGCTTCAGTCGACTACCTTTGGCTGAACTGGCCAATGTAAAGGCTTAGGCCACACCCATTCTGGAGGGCTCTGACACGCCAGGGCGCGAAGCAGCCTTATTGGTTCTTGCGTCTGAGCCGCCTCGCCATAGGTTTGTGCAGTTGCCGCAGCACATCCAATGACCGCACTAGCCGTTCATCTGTGTCTGCTGTGCAGCTGCACTGCGTTTTAAAAATTTTGGCTTCAATATTTCACATTTTTAAAACAGGGCTCCTCCTCCTCAATATCTTGTCAGGCTTGTCAATATTTCTATCCCTTGCAGCTGCTCTTATAGACTTCTTTCCTTCCTTGACCTCAGCGGCTGCACTGTCCATCTCCTCGAGGGGTGTTTTGCCCCAGGTTGTCTTCCTGGTGTATTACCTTGGCATGATGGCTTTTCTACAATGTTTATGACATTAAAAAATAAAACATATGTAATGTAATATTACATTAAAATATGTTTAAGACTAAACTTAACTTGTGCCTCATGTCTCACTTTACCCCACAGCATTTGTCTCACTTTACCCCACTGCCACATTTTAGAAAAAACGATCTCTCTTAGTAATTCAGGATACTTTTCAGCTAGCATCATCACATGGTTTTATATGTTAATAGTTCATCAACATGTATGATATAAGTTTTTCTACCTGAATCAATTTGCTTTGGCACAACAGTTGATTAAGTTGACAGCAAGAAAATTTACTTTTACATGCAAAAAAAATATTTTTGTGAAAAAAACATGCTTATCACAGCATCATGAGGTCCTCTCCTTCATGGCCAAGGGGAAATGGGATGGGCTTGAAAACATAATGGTCACATGACCACAAATGTGTTCCGTTGACTAGATACAGGGGGTGTCTCACATTACCCGATGTCTCACTTTACCCCGCTCTCCCCTGTATATGGTAATTTAAACCAAATCAAAATGTGACCACACATTACAACATAAAAACAACTGAAATGCCAGAAAGCTTGTATCAGGATTTCGTGTTGCTGACATGTTTCTTTGGATGATGTTATTCCCTGCAAAGGATAAATAACGGAATAGAAACTTCCTCTTTCACTACCTCATTACTGTGTTCTTGCAGGTTTGTTGTGCATGGACTGACCACCGGTGAGACGTATGTCTTCCGTGTACAAGCCATCAACGAGCTGGGCCTCAGCGATGAATCCCAGGAATCTGCTCCTCTTTCTGTGAGAAATGCTCTCAGTAAGTTTGGCTCTCATGACCCAATCTCCTTTACATTCCATCAAGAAGCCAACTACAATTTATTTTGAACCTTTTCCAAACACACTCAAAAGCTGTTTTTCAGCAGTAGGTGTTTGTTATTGATAGCCCATGGTGTAGTAAATGACAAAAAGTAAGGTGCCCACCAGACTTAATGACTACAACAGGTTGGAAAAGGTGTATATTTATCTTTATTCATAGGCAGTGCTTTGGAAAGTTGCCACACAGTAACAACAGAAAAGATTAATTTTACACGTCAAATGTTTTTTAATATACAGTAGGGTTGAGCAGTGAAATGTATCAGCCAGTAGATTCTGCTATAGTGTTTATTAAAGCAATAAACCACAAGAGAATGTGTGTTACAGTGATTTTTACCATGATTAATGCACTGTAGACAACATCGTTAATTATAATGGAAGCGATTTAGTTTTTACAAATCTCATCATGTGTAAACAAAGTGTAATTGTAGATTGCTTATTATTGTCGGCTATTTTACAATGTGAGACTTCTGAATCCTCCTTAGTTATGCATAATCTTTTCTTTTGGTTTGGATCCATCAAGTTACAAATAAAAAGAAAATAAACAGATGAATCATTTAATCAAGTCATACCTTTCCTTTGTAAATTATGCTTGATTTGCAAAATAAGATATGGAAAAGCATTTTATATTAGTATACATATTATGTGTGTTATATACAGTCACCATGTTATAAAATTGTTCATAGTGTGGAATATAGCCATCACACTATGAAAACATAAGATATGATCATACCCCAGTACACAGTTGTATGCAAAAGGTTTTTAAAAATATTTTTATTCCCCTCAAACCTCGCACCATTTGCTAAATAGGTTCAATAATTCATACCAAATGAGTCAGAATGTGTTTTTTTTTTTCTTCCCGATCTCTGTGGGACACTTAGTCAACAAGTAGAAATTATTTCAGCCAGCAGACCATTACATTTTTACAGATCTGGATGATTTGTAGAGCTGTTTGCTTTGTAACTCTTTAGCTTTAGCTAACAGCAATCCTCTGTTTGGACTCAGGGGGATCATTCCATACTCGGAGACTTCAAAAGATGAAAATAAAGATGAAACTTTTTGTCCTAAGAGTGCAGGCCTGTCTGTAGTAAACAGCCAGCCAAAACAGTGGTTAGAAAATTAAAATAGATAAGTTCTTTAGATTAAATTATTAGATGAAAGTATTTCTCAAAGGGTTTCAAACAAGCATCTATGAAGTAGTATATCATGTCTCATACCATTTTTGTTACGGACAATATTGATACCTTGAGGAGAGTTTATCATCTATCGGGCGGTTAAAAAAGAAAACAGGCAAAACAACCCACCTAGTGTCACAATCAGGTTCAGATGAAGACAATGAAAAAGGTTCAAACTAGTTTCCACAAACAAAAGGTTCTTTAATAAAACAAACTCAGGTAATCCAATAGCAAGAAGGCAACATAACAACATGTGATACACAAACAATACCAGACAACAACTGATTGTAAAGGAGGAACTTAAATACACAGGGTGATTGAACTCAAATGATGAACAGGTGTGCTTTAATTGACCCTTCGCTAAGCCCCGCCCTCCTTAGTTACTGTTGCTACGCCTGTCAAGCTTTCGCGGCTGCCACGTCTATTACAGTGTGAATGCACCGGTGTCAGACATTCCCAAGGAGATATTTAGGCATTTTTGGCGAACAAGTGAAATATCTGAGAGAGCAAGACAAAAGGGACAGCAGTATGCATTCGAGGGATATATCCACGACATAATATGCAACTTATTAGAGAATAATTTCATCAAAATTGAAGCTAAAGCCTATAACGTTAGGTCCAAGCAAGCAGCAGCCGCCTCCTTAGCAGACCATTCAAATGAGAAACACACAAATTGAACAGCTATGTTCATGCACAGCAGAGTAAGTGAAATGTGAAAATAATCTAATAATTACAAATCAAACAGTTTATCCATCAATCTAAAACCGGGAGAGCCGCGATCGGATTAGGGTAAAGTTACAGGGGTAACGTTAGTAGGCCGTCCACTGTCGATTAACAAAATGCTGAAACATTTTTTAAAGTATATCAGTGAGCCTCCGTCTTGCCTTTAATCGTCTTATTTTACATTCAAATATATGCATTATGAACAAAGAACCGCCATTATTTCCAAGCAATAGGCGTTTTTTTTTTTTTTTGTTAATCCTGTCGACATTTAGTTGTGAATGGGTCTCCACACTGCTTGATCCACGCCCGGGATTTCTCCCCTTTGGCTTTTAGGTTTCGGGAAGAGAAAAAATGCCACTCCACCGTCCAAACTTTTAGAATACCGGGTATCAGATTGGCACAATCCATACGCACAACGCGTCGGCATGTTTGCCTCGCTCGAAAGCTTGACAGACCTCCCGCGCCTAGTTACGGTTGCTAAGCCACGATTGGCCAGTGGCGGTTTTCGGGCGTGGCTTAGCGAAGGGTCAATTAGGAACATACTGCATCACCATGACAACTGATTAATGGCGTGCAAACAGGAACACAGGCAGACGGCAACAAAGAGGAACATAATAAGAGTCCATGAAAATGAAACTAAAGCTAAACAGAACATAATGGTGACACCTAGTAACAACTCAGAACACCCTAGCAAACTGCACAAAGTGCTGAAATCATCTCAGAACTCCCTTCCGTAGCATTTTGATAGCACACAATTATTTTCAAAAAATGTATAGGCTCTGTTCTAAAGCCTAGTGAGCTGACTTTATAGGAAACATTTTAAAGCTTCACATGTTGATTATGATTATGCTGCTTTCAAAGATATTTTGGTCAGTTGTAAGGCAGCATGGAATCTTTTCTGCAGAATGTAATCCCATAATGCTTTGAGATAAATCAATTTGATGGTGGACAAACAATAGAAATAATCATTTAATTATCAAACAACACTGATAAAAATACTTCAGTCTAATAAAAATATACTATTTTTTAATAGATATCCTCTCTATTTGCACCATTGTTCAAGTTTGTGGTCGGTGAGATTTAAAGAAATGTTTTGAAAGAAGACTTATGTTTACGGCTGTGGTTTGATAAATGTAAAATCATAATGTGAAATGTTATTACAATATATAAACAATTTAAAATTTAAGTGTTTTCTATTTTAAATATATTTTAAAATGTAATTTATTCCTTTATAATGTGATTTTCAGCAGACATTAGCTTGCAATAAAACTGTTTAATGCACAGGTAGTTCCAAGTCACTTTAATCGCCATTCTATATTAATGCTCTGCTCTCATTGAAGCGCACACATACATACGTCACTCGCACACAGAGATTGGAGATCGCGCTGCGCACACACAGAAACAGGAGCACAGAAACTAGCTGACACAGAAACTAGCCCCCCCACCCCCCCAGTCATACGGTATGTTACCTTACTACTTTATCTCTGTTTCTGATTTTAAAGGAGTAGTTCACTTCAGAATTAAAACTTCCTGATAATTTACTCACCCCCATGTCATCCAAGATGTTCATGTCTTTCTTTCTTTCTTCAGTCAAAAATAATTTTTTGAGGAAAACATTCCAGGATTTTTCTCATTATAGTGGACTTCAACGGGAACCAACGGTTTGAAGGTCCAAGGTTTCAATGCAGCTTCAAATGGCTTTACACGATCCCAGCCGAGGAATAACGATCTTATCTACCGAAACGATCAGTCATTTTCTAATTTAAAAAAAAAAAAATATATAACTTTTAACCACAAATGCTAGTCTTGCACGTTCGCTTTGTAAACACTAGGTCTGTACTTTCACCTATTACAATTTTCAACGTGACCTTTCAATGTGATTACGTAATGTGTGGCGCGTCACAGCTATAGTGCAAGAAAAAAAAAATATATTATTTTTTTTTAGAAAATGACTGATCGTTTCACTAGATAAGACCCTTATTCCTCGGCTGGGATCGTGAAGAGACATTTGAAGCTGCGTTGAAACTCTAACCCGTTGGTTCCCATTAAAGTCCACTATATGGAGAAAAATCCTGGAATGTTTTCCTCAAAAACCTTAATTTCTTTTCGACTGAAGAAAGAAAGAAATGAATATCTTTGATGACATGGGGGTGAGTAAATTATCAGGAAATTTTAATTCTGAAGCGAACTAATCCTTTAAAGCTTCACTTCGTGTTGTGCCGTTCTTTTCCTCCAAGTCGTGCATTAAAATTGTTTTAAGCACAGCGGTGGATTATCCCTTACTTATTATCAACAGTTGTGCTTCTGAATATTTTTGTGGACTCTTTCAGAATATATATATATATATATATATATAAAGTAGATATCACTTTACATCAAAAAGCAATAAAAGTATTAATTTCTTTTAAAAAAAATCTTACTGTCCCCAAACTTTTGAATGGTAGTGTATATGATGCACATTTTGCTGCCTATGTACATTGTTCCAGTGTTCCAAATCTAACATAACTGAAATGCTGTTTGCTTTAGACGGACAAAGCCCTACAATATCTTATGGAAAAGCATTGCCATAGTTTGAGGCTATCACTAATGTGTAACAAAATGCATTTCACCGTTCTATATTACATCTCCGGACACATCTTTTCCTCTGAAATGTGCATATTACAAGCCAGAGATGCGGCTTGCACGTCAGCGCATGTTCCTCTTTGTTGAAGACACTGAGTAATGTGAACGGTCGGCTACAGCAATCTGTCTTCTCCACAGAGTTGCCCTCTTCCCCTTACGACATCTCTCTTCTGTATTGTGACGGGGAATCCATGGTTCTCAACTGGAAGCAGCCCATCCATTCTGGAGGAGCAGAGGTCACTGATTATTACATTGACAAATTCAATGTGGCCAAGAAGACGTGGAAGGAGGTCAACATCCCACCCATTAAGGAACGCCTGCACAAGGTGTCTATTTATTGCAGCATCCTGTGCATGTTGTTACATCAGCTTATACTGATGGATTTCTAATAATATTATGTAATATAATATTACCGTGTAAAATAATTACTAAGATGAACTGTATCTTCTGAAGGTTGGAGGTCTGACAGCTGGGTCAGTGTATCAGTTTAGGATCTATGGAGGTAATTTGGTTGGATTGGGTAATGCCTCAACCCCAAGCACGTCCTTCAAATGTGAGGCTTGGACCAAGCCTGAGCCAGGTAATGTGAAGTGTGTACATAGTTTTGACTTGTACTGCTAAATTATGTCATTATTTATTCACCCTCATGTCGTTCAAAACCTGTATGCTGCTATTTCTTCCGTGCAACACAAAAGGTTTGAATTTTCATTATCTAATATCAGAAAATATGAATAAATACTGTGTCAAATGCATTGCTCATTATTAGTTAATGTTAGTTAGTTCATTAACTAAGGTCAACTAATGAGACCTTATTGTAAAATGTTACTGCAGAATCAGATGAATTTGAAACTTTGAAACCAAGGCATAACAAAGGCTGTACAAGATCAATAAATGGCCCAAAAAAGCAATTGATAGTTCTGCAAAGTGGCCCGAAACTCTCTCACATTGGTCCCGGGCCAGCGTGTCATCCTTATTGTTGAGTTCTGTCACTGAAAATCTTATTGTCCATTCACCATATCTTAAGTAGCACACTCAAGAATGAATGCCCTTTTGGCAACACACTGATGCACCATATAAAATCTGAAAGCAAATGTGATCAGTGGACAACAATTCTTTGGTCTTTGGTCGTATGGCAGTCAAAGTCACATGGCCTTTTTTATAGGGATATTTTTTGTTGCCATCTTTGGAGTTTGAAAGTCATGGTAACGTTGAACGGATAATGTTCAGTGTATGTGAAAATTCTACAAAAGTCTTGTTTTCCACAGAAGAAAGAAAAGAAAAGTCATACATGTTTGGAACATTATGAATATGGTGAATTAATTATGGCAATTTTTATCTTTGTGCCAACTGTTCCTTTAACAAACTAAAACAAATCTCCATTAAGCTCATTTTGTTTTATGTGCTGCCCTAAGAACACTTTAGAGGAAGTAAAAGTCTATGTGTGCAAAACACTCATCCTTGAGACCAACCCACAACTCTTGGCAAACATTACTTGAGTACTTTGTTCAGCAGATTTGCAGTAAGATGTCTTGTTTAGGTGGTTAAAAAACTCTTTTAAAGGCTACAAATGGAATAGGAGGTCTCTATAGCTCTCTGTTTGGTTATATTGACCCTGCCAGTCACCTCTAGACTACATTACCATCGATTAATAGTACTAATAGTACATTTCTCAATCCTTGTTACGGTGTTTCAAGTGAACCAAGTAAGGTGATTGATTGCTGTTTTCACACAAAAAAATCAGTTTTTATCAAAGTGACATTATGTAATGCTCCAATTCCGACATTAGTGTATTGGACAGTCAAGACCAGCAAGAAACTCAAAAGACGTGTACGATCCTCACAAAAGCTTTTTGAGAACATAATCAAAATATAACATGTTGAAGTATTTATACATCATGCTATTTTAATGTACTGTATAAAATGAGAATCGGCATACAAAAATACATAATAATAATAACCTCAGAAGAAAAACGCCCATTATTTACTACAGTGATTAGAATTTGGGAGATTCATTTGCATGAAAATGTACATAAATAATTTCACATTCCACAGTTTTGTTAGATTTTAAGGTGAAATGTCACCTGAACATGTTTTCATGAGATTCACCCAAACATGTTTGAAAGCATGAAAAAGTTGAGCTTTAATTGCCTTGTGTTTGGCTTTGGTAGGTCCAGCCTATGACCTGACCTTCACTGAGGTAAGGGATGATTCTTTGGTGGTGGAGTGGAAGGCTCCTGTCTACAATGGGGTCAGTGCCATCACTGGATACTTCATTGAGAAATCCAGGAAAGGCTCTGATACCTGGAGCAAAGTCAACGAAAGTTCAGTCAACCACTGCTATATCAAGGTATTGATTTGTGAGTGCCGACAAGCTCATATTCTCAGACTTTCTATACTAGGCTACTATTTCAGTATGCCAGACATAGAAATATGAAAACGTGTTCACTTCTCTGTGGCTTTATAAAATGTACGGTTTGAATGTTTACAGGTCAAGGGTCTAGAGAAAGGCGCATCTTATGTGTTCCGCGTACTGGCCGAGAATGCCAAGGGCATTGGGATGGCTTCAACCCCCTCTGACCCTGTGTGTGTCAAAGCACTGCCAGGTAAACATGTAATGTAGAGCAGACACTGTTTAAGACATAAATATCTGAATGGGGGAAAAAAAAATCAATGTGGTGGCTATAGTTCTGCCTTACAGAGCCAGTTGCTTCTTTGATGGATGCGTTGTGATGCTGAATGTGTCAGCTGAAAGAATAGATGTCCCACTTTCAATTTAAAGCAACAATTAATTTACTTTGTTTACTCTAGATCTTGTTTGCGAAAAAACTAGCATGCATTTATTTGCAGTTATTCTGAGTTTAAGAATCACAATTTATGAGACAATAAATGTTATTTGTAAATGAAATATCATTTCGAAAAACAATTACATAGATTGTTTGTCAAAATAGTAGATAGGAAGTACTGGATTTTTGCTGGATTTAGCTGCCCATTACGCAAACGGACACAGAAAAATGACTTGCCTTAAAGGGTTAATTCACCCAAAAATTTTAATTCTTTCATCATTTACTTCCCCTCATGGCATTCCAAACCAAAATCTGTTGATCACACAGTGAGCGTACCTCGTCACAAGACTTGTTCTAAATTCCTCGATTCTTAAGGATTTGTTTAATGACGCCTTTTTGAACTTTTCGGATATTCTAATTTCTGGTTACATGGACTTTCAATGGAGGGTTGAATCATTTCTCACATTTCTCACATCTTAATTTGTGGTTTTACAAAATATTTTTTTGGGTGAATTATCCCTTTAAGGCAGCATTTCTCAATGAGAGAACATTTTGGGTACTGGAAGCAATATTTTTGAAAGTAGTTTTGTTTAAGGCGAGTTTACAAAAAAGATTCACAACGATTTGAGCTGAACTTTTTAACTACTTGCAAAAGAATGTGGTCTGCAACATTCCAAAACCTACCAGTTTACACCAATGCGACTAGACGAGACGGGGTATTGTTTCCATAGCAACTACTCTTTTCTTCAGTTTTTCTGTCATCTTTCTGTAGCGCAGCTGTTGTACCCGTGAAAGCAAGTTAGTGTTTAGCATCCAAAAACACTTTTTTTTTTCTTAGCCACCAGTGTCAAAGAAAAAACGATTTACAACCTACAACTCAGACTGGGCAAAAAAAATAAAAAAAATCTGAATGGGTAAGGCCCACACAAGTAGACCCGTTCTCTTGCTCTGTTTTTTGTCCTGCCAAAATTTCAGTTAAATATGAAGGAAAAACAGCGCTGGAAAAGCACCAGAGTTTTGCATTAAGCAAACACAAAAATCTAGCCATTGCAACTGTAGCAGTACCTTTATCTAATGTAAATAAATCTAAAATAATAATACATGATACTCTGCACCTGTCACACTGCTCAAAAGATATACGGCGTGTTTGTGTCCTACAACTGTTAACATAGTATATTTGCAAATATGGGTTGATCCCCCCCCCCCCCCCCCCCCCCAAAAAACAAAAACAAAAATAAATTTCATCTGAGTGTCCCGGTTTTTCACAAATCAAAAGTGACAAGTTTGTGACGTCAGATACACTAGCGATTTCAAACGTGATTTTGAGACTGTCTTTGGTTCACTGCTAGCCTGGATGCCAGCCGAACTTAGCCCCGCCCACAACATTTGAGGATGGGAAGTTCGGTCTGGACTTGATCCGTTGAGAAGCAAGTATGCCCAAACCAGAGCTGTTCGGACCAATCAAATTGTCAGGGCGGGCTTTATACGATGACGTAACCTAACGTAATCATCCACGTCACCAAAGAGCGCTTGGGTTGAATTTGTTTACAACAAAGAATGGCTGCAGCTGGAGAATTTAGATGTGTAGATTCAGCCATCGCGTCTGTTATAGAAGATGTAGACAGCGCATTCATTTTAAAAGAGGGACAGAGAACCGCGATCAAGGCATTTGTCAGTCCAATTGAGTGCAGAGGCATTTTCTTTCCTGGTTCGGTTGAAACACGCCAAATAATCACAGCCCAATGGAGCAGTATCAGACTCACATTCTGACTAGAATCTGAGTATGATGACGTCAGGCTAGTTCACTGAAGTTTTTAGAAGAAAATAGTCAGCAATGGTGTTGACTTATAAATTTACACATGGTTTGTTTTAAAGCATATTAAAAACACCACATAGACAAATAAACAACATTAAAGGGGGACTTTAAATTGTAATAATATTTAACAATATTGCTGTTTTTTTCCTGTATTTTTGATCAAATAAATGCAGGCTTAATGAGCATAAGAGATTTCTTTCAAAAATAGTTATGTTAAATTTTCTTTTTACCAGTACTGTACAAACACACACACAAACACACACACACACACACACACACACACACACACACACACACACACACACACACACACACACACACACACACACACACACACACACACACACACACACACACACACACACACACACACACACACACACACACACACACACACACACTGAATAGGACATTAATTCCCTGCAGCTCCAGAGTTATCAGGGATTAGTTATGATGACTCAGGTGATTGGCTCAGAATGTCTGTTCCCAGAACTGACTGTCTATGAGAAAAGATGGCAGATTCCAGTTCACACACTTCTGAGGGTTTTGCGTCAGTTGCTGAACGGATAGCCTTCCTCAGAAATTGCTGTATATAGACCTCATTGGCTTGGCGACATCAGAAAAAAAAAGAGGAAAGTCATTTCAGAGGAGGTCATCCATCCAGGGTGTTTTCCTGCCTTTGGCCCGAGATGCTGAGATAAGCTCCAGCATCCCTGCTATCCTACATAGGACAAGCAGTTTGGAGGATGGATGGATGGATTTGAGAGGTTGTTATTACAGTGATGGTATTGGTATTTATTTTCATGATTTTTGTTTTATTTTGTGCACTGATGAATTGTGCACAGTGAGACCAGGAAGTCGCATTCAGTTGTCAGTTAGAAATTTTAAACCTAAACAACTTACACAGCCATCCAGAATAGCAGAATATCTGCTAATTCTAAAGAATGGGGGTTTATTTTTGAAGAAATGGGAGGAGTTCACAGTGGGGCTGAGAGAGAGCTGTTCAGGGCAGTGTGGATTGCACCATGGGAGGCGTTCTGGAGTGTCTTGGGGAGCAGCTGCCTGCACATTCACAGATAAGCAAAAAGCAGCCACGGGATGATCCAAGATGATTCATTCCGAGTAGCCCGAAAGGTTTGTGGCTGATAAAAATGGCATCAGCCAGTAGAGTGCGCTGTGGAATCGTGCGTCTATATAAAGTATGTGTGTGATGTTGTGTGAGATGTTCTACAGTACAACTGAGAAGGGAAGCCCAGCTTGGGCTGGTTGGTCATAATCAGGGCCACAGTGATCTCCACAGATTTCTGCACGTGAACACCCATCATTCACAACCTTCTGCACACCTGTTACATGTTCATTAATTATTATTATTATTTATTTTTTTACAAATTTTATTATGCTTTTTGATACCACTACACTGAGAAAAATGATAACCTAAAAATGGTTGCATTTAAAGGAACTGGTTTTATTCGAGTCAAAAATATTATTTTACATCACTGAATCCACATAAGGGAACTGAATCAACACTAAACTGACTTCAGCTGAACAACTGCCGAAATGCATCATTTTCCAGTTATCACGGTAAAGCTGCTTTGAATCAGTCTGTATTGCATAAAGCACTAAATAGATAGCGGTGACTTGACGACCTAAATACAATGATTTAGACCAAAAAAAAAACTATTTTATTTGTATGCAATAAATCAGGTATGAATAGCTATTTAAGGTAATATTAATTTTCTTGGTTTAAACTTATTCTCTTTTTGTGTGTGGAAAAGTTTAAATTCCCTGAGTATGAATGAAAGTGATGGAAGTGAATTAGAACTGGTTTGTAAGGCCACAAAATGACAAAAACACCAGTAACGTATCATTAAAATGGTACATATGACTTGAGCACAATATCGTATATATGAGATTTTGTGTACCTTGTTTATTTGTATATATACATACGTATACACACACACACACACACACACATATATATATGAGTACACAAAGTCTCATACATAAAATATTGTGCAGTCATATGTACCATTTTAATGATATATATATGCGTCTTCTGAAGCCAAACTATAGCTTTGTGTGACAAACAGACCAAAATGTAAGCTGGTTTTCACTGAAAATCAAATATGGTGCTGCATACGGTTTGACATTTGGTTTCGAGACACATTGGAGCAAATGGCATGGCGTCAGTGATGTGAAATGCCATCAGCGGATGTGTTTTATATGTGGCATTTGTTGTCCACGTTAAAGCTTCAGAGGAGCAAAATAGCATTAAATTACATTTAGATTATATTAATATTAATGAATAAATATATGAATAAATGTATTAATTTAATGTCAAAGTCTACTTATTATTAGAAAACGGATCAATTTAATATCATATTATAATATTATTATTAATATTAAATTGTGTCCCCGACGTTTCAAATCATTCCTTTGGAACAGCATTGACCAATAATCCCACTTGATTTTCCAACCATAACTCCAGCATATCCTACAGTATTTGTTTAGTAGTACTTGTCAACTTGTGTGCAAATTCTTCTGTGCTTCTGTTATTTTGAAGGCACCCAGGAAATCAAGTGTGGCGTCGATGAGGGATCAGGTGACATTTATCTCTCTTTTGAGAGCTGCCAAATGACAGAGACATCAAAGTTTGTGTGGAAGAAGTCCTACCAAGAAATTACTGACTTCTCTAAGGGCATCATCGTCAAGACATCAGGCAGCAAGTAAGCACAACAGAAGTCCTAACTTGATCTGGTCCAGATACATATTAGCTCAAAGCATATTTAGGGCAATGCCACAGTCTGTGCATATTTCATTCTATTTGTTGTGTTGTCCCAATGAACAGACACTAATGTTTGCTCATTGTTTCTTTAGCTCAACTTTGGTTTTTAAGAACCCAGACAAAGAGGATTTGGGCACATTCTCTGTATCTGTTACACATACTGATGGTGCCTCGGCCAGCTACAAGATCTCAGCAGAAGGTGAGGCTTCTTAATATATAATGACCATGAGCTTCATTATTAATACCCTCCCTCAAAGGTATATAGAGTACAAGACACTATCAAAACATTCCATTGACAGATTCGAATCATATTTGATTCAGATGTCGGTATACTATGTTAGTGTGTGACATGGATGTCACATCATCTGCAGTAAAATAGTTACCATGATATTAGATATTTCAAAGATATTTAATTTAATAATAATACTTTTAATAATAATAAAGATTTGTGTTGTCTGCTGTAATGTACTTGAAAAGTGCTGATGATGATAGCTGATAGAAAATGATAGTTACCTCTATCCTTTAGAGCTGGAGAAGATGTTGGCCCTCAGCTATGACATACGCAATCCAAGTAAGTGGCCCCAGATAAAGGAGTAGAGTATGGAGCCCTTAAAGGGACATGGTGAAGAAATAAAAATGAGATGGGAGGAAAAATTATTTGGCAATGCTTTTGCGTTCTCTCGCAAAATGTGTGCGTTCCCCTGAGAAACTTCATGTTTGTCTGCAAAATGTTTTGCGTTCCCCTGAACACAAAGTTTCTCATGGGAACACAAAACATTTGCGAGAGAACCCAGTATTATTTTTAATATTATTAAAATTAATATTAATATTATTTTTAATTACTCATATTTTTTTCCAACACCATATCCCCTATGAGGCTCTAGAGATTGTTATACTGTTGTTTTTACCTACAATCTGTCCAGTATGTAATTTTGTCAAATGGTGTTCAGACTTCAGACTCAACTTGAATGAACCATGTTCAAAATGCACATTTGACACATCAATTGATCAGTGTGTATTCAGGGTTCCCACAGTTTTGGAAAACCTGGACATTATCCAGGCTTAGAAAAGTCATGGAATTCGAAGGTCATAGGAATTATTGTAACATTTCACAATATTCTTCAATTTGTTAACATTAGTTAATACATGTTAATTTATAATTATTGTTATACAATTTGGCTCGTTAAAAATGTATAAATCTTAGCTTTTGCAAAACTAGTTATGCTTTACTCTAACATATTTCATTGTCTAAAATAAAATTGTCAAAAATTAATCTCTGATCTATGATTTTAGCCCCCTGTTTCACAGACAAGGCTTAAGTCTAGTCCCGGACTAAAATGCATGTTTGAGCTGTTTTAATTTTATCTTAAAATATGTCACTGCCATTGTTTTGTCTCAAGATACACACCAGTTATGTTTACATTTATAGAAATACATTTATAGAAGCTACTTAAATGTGCTAATTGAACTAAGGCCTAATCCTAATCCTGTCTGTGAAACCAGGCCTAGGAGTCCTTATCTAGAAAAGCCATAGATGGGAATATTCAGGTATGGGAACCCTGAATTGTAATCTGCAAAATTTAACTAATGCTATTATAATTAACTTTTTACATGACATGTTGTTGATAACAGTGTGACTATTCATTGAATTTTAGTGTTTTTATTTTATTTTATTGCTATTACCACTGTATTATAAAACATTTGAGGCTATTACAGTGATTTTATCAAAGTTAAAGGGGTTTTAGATTCACGCTGTGCCTGACAACACCATTTAAGCATGTTAAAATCACTGGAATATGTAGCGTGGCTTATTGCTTAAAATAAACTGTACGATTTTTATATAGAATCAGCATGTGTAGATTCACAGGTCTAAGGTCATGCGTATGAACTGTGACACAACACACATGTCAGCTTGTCATGCGTCACCTCTTCTGTGTCGCAGTTATTCCTCTGAAGACTGAACTGGCCTATAAGATTCTAGAGAGAGGCCGTATGCGCTTTTGGCTGCAAGCTGAGGGTATCTCTTCTTCTGTGACCTACAAATTCTTTGCCAATAACAAGGAGCTTGTCAACTGTGAGGTAAATAACTGTCAAATAGAATGGTACGGACAAATACAGCCTTCATTTCATAAACAGAAATCAGGGAGTTTTATGTTAAAAGGATAGTTCACCCCAAACTGACAATTCGTCATCATTTATTCACTCTCGGGTTCTTCCAAACCCCAAGACTTTCTTTACTCTGTGGAACATAAAATATATTTAACAACATAGTGTCATAAAAATGGTCCATATGACTTTTGAACTATTTTCATACTATTTAAGTAATTCACTGAAAATATTGCTTGGCATGACACCAATTGGTCATTAGGGATTACGCAAAATATCAGTTATCATACTAGTTATCTGATTATTTTGTATATATATATATATATATATATATATATATATATATATATATATATATATTGGCCAATATAATATAATATAGTATAATATAATATAATTTTATTTTTTTATTAAAATTATATTTGTTTACATAATATATGTGTGTGTACTCTGTATAATTATTTTGTAAATATAAATACACACACATGCATGTATTTGAGATGGATACACTGTATATACATATTTATATATAATTTATATTATATATAAATATAAATATTTTATACATAAATAACACATTTTTCTTAAATATATACATGCATGTGTGTGTATTTATATATTCAAAATAATTATACATATATTATGTAAACACAAACTTTTATTTTGGGTGCGATTAATTGCGATTAATCATATTCTTATTTCTTTTGTTATAGAACTCTCACTTAAAGTTAATCTTTACAGACACTAATAATTTAATAACATTGTTAAATGTAATCTTTAGCAGATCTCAAAATAAATATACATTTGTTTTGCACTGTACACTACTGTACATTATAATTGTCATTGCCATTGTCATTGTTTTATTTTGTTTTAGCCAGAAATTGACTATTGGAGCATCCTCAATTGTTCCCCATTCACTTTCATTGAACTAAAAAGGCCAGCATGAACTTCCTGCTATAAATAATTTATTTTGTGTTCTGTGGTATTTTGTGTTCATACCGGTTTTGGATTAGATTACAGAATTGTCATTCTGAGTGAACTATCCCTTTAAGTTTAGCTCCAACTGATGCTGTGCAAGAAAACATAACCAATCCAAATGGATAGATTCAGCTCCATCTGTTATGTTCATTTGCTTGAGCCTCGTAAGAAAAGCCCAGGAGAGAAATGTTTACCTCTCTGGCTTTTTCACAGCAAACTAAAATGAGTCACGACGCAGCTACGGGCATTATTGAGATGGTGATGGATCATTTCACTGAAGACAGCGAGGGCACTTTCACCGTGCAGATCCAAGATGGCAGAGCTAAGGCCCAGTCTTCTCTGGTGCTGATTGGAGATGGTGAGAGCCAGCATCGCTCTAGGGCTTGCAGAAGCTCACATCTTGAGATATTGTGCTCTTCTGTTGAACTCTATTCACTGACCTCTTATAGTTTCTGCTTTATTTTCCTGTTCCAGCCTTCAAGGCAGCGTTGGCTGAGGCGGACTACCAAAGGAGGGAGTACATTCGTGTGAAAGAGGGTACTGCACTTTTCGAATTGATGTAGCTGTTGAATAAACTTCTGATAGAGTGAATTAGACCCTGTGGTTTTGTAATGCTATTACTTTTTGAGGTTTACAAACAAGCTTTGCATCATCGACAAAATATCTTATTGGTTCCCTGCTGAAAAAATGGCTTCTATGAATAGTTCACACAGACATTATAATTCTGTTATTATTTACTGACTAGGGGTGTACAGCGGAGCAAATATATTTATCTGTATCTGTTACAATCACAATATTTTTTTTTTTCTGTATTCGGAAGAAAATGGAATTGGGCAGGGGAGCAATGAAAGAGTGAATTTTCCTATATCTTCACCTGGAATGTTTCCATGACACTGCAGAGCGGTGTCTATTAGCTGTTCTTACAACAGGATTTTTTTTATTACTGCTGTTAATATAATTGTTGTAAATAAACATACATTTAATAATGAAATTTATGAAGTTTAGACACATTCACTACATAAACTCATTAGTATAGCTATAATATCATGCTATCCCCTGGCTCAACTGTTATCCACAAAGAACGTCTCGGTTACATATGTAACCCTCATTCCCTTTCAGTCGCTCACAATCGACGTAGTCGACGTGTCGACTGATTGGGATCACGCTGAGCCTGTCATCTTTGAGTATTGATAAAATGAGCTAATGCACATTGGCGTGCGAGCTATGCATCTCACGCTCCGCCCCGTAGCACAGGTATAAATACGGAAGTGGATGCATGCACCATTTGTTTTTCGCTGAGGAGCCGAGCGGAGCCCAGAGTTAGCGGTGGTCCAGCAATAGTGGCGACAGGACTACGTCTCCGTTGGACAGATGGGACAGGGCTTAGGCCAGGGAAGTCTCTGCAGTTCCGCAAGACCCACTCAATCAGACTTGGATAACACTGGGAAAGCGTGTAAAATCAGTATTGATTTTAAAGTATTGATGCTGGTTTTTAAATCCTTGATTGGATTGGCTCCTGTATATATGTCTGATCTATTATCCAGTCACAATTCTGGAAGGTCTCTTAGGTCATCCAACTGTTAAATGTACCTCGGGCTAGACTAAAAACGAGAGGAGATTGAGCTTTTGCCGTTGGTGCACCAAAACTTTGGAACAGCCTCCCTGTTCTCATTAGAACTGCCTCTTCACTGCATGAGTTTAAAGTAAAACTCAAAACGTATTTTTTTCTTTGGCTTATAATTGTAGTTGATACGTGCTATGTCTGGTCTGTTCTTTGTTTTGTTTTGTAATCTATGTTGTACTTGGTGTTAAATGCTAACGATGTCTGATATAGTGTACAGCACTATAACTACTGTTGTTTTTAGTGGTGCTATATAAATAAAGTTGAGTTGAGTTGAGTGCCCTTTCGGGGAAAGGAAGACGCTGCGGAAGCCACATCCTGCTCGTAGGGAGGTATACATGTGGAGGATACACATATGGAGTGGGCGTTTTTCCCGGGTAGTACAACATATGGAATGTCACTGAGGTGGCTCCAGCCTATAACAAGGGGGAGACTCAACCGGTCAGTGACGGTTTCTGCCAAGGGAAAGACACAGGCTGGCCGCAGGGAGCCGTACCGTGGACGAATACACATATGGGATCGCCGTAAGTTGCCTAAGGGGTATGGAAGAACCCCTTAGGCACGTCCATTGCCTAAGGGGTATGGAAGAACTCAACAGGGTTCGGCTAAAGAGGAACTCTACTGGAGCAAGAATGGCGCACGTATCCGCTCCATAGGAGGGGAATAGCGCAGCAAGCCGACACTTCAAGCAGGGCTTACGGTGTTAACTGGCTTCTATGTGAAGAAAACACACGGGAAGCAACCAGCTCGACACGTAGGCTATAGAATCTAGTGAACGTGTTTGGTGTCGCCCAGCCCGCAGCTCTACAAACATCTGTCAGCGAGGCATCCTGTGCCAACGTCCAGGAAGAAGCTACACTCCGAGTGGAGTGGGCTCACAATCCAGGGGGGCATGCTGAATCTTGGGATTGATATGCCAAGATGATGGCATCCACTATCCAGTAGGCCCACCTCTGCTTGGAGACAGCCTTTCCCTTCTGCTGGCCTCCGTAACAGACAAAGAGCTGGTCTGTGGTCCTGAGCCTTTGCGTTCTGTCCACATATAACCGCAAGGAGCGGACAGGACAGAGAAAAGCCAGGGCTGGGTCTGCCTCCTACAGGGGCAGCGCTTGCAGGTTCACCACCTGGTCCCGAAAGTGAGTGGTAGGAACCTTGGGCACATATCCAGGCCGGGGTCTCAGGATAATGTGAGAGTTAGCCGGCCCGAATTCCAGGCACGATTCGTTGACCAAAAATATGTGCAGTTCCCTTACCCTCTTGATGGAGGCCAAAGCAAGTAGGATAACTGTTTTTAAAGACAGGACTTTTAACTCAGCTGCCTGCAGTGGCTCAAAGGGAGGTATCTCCAGTGCAGTCAGCACCAGAGATAAGTCCCAAGAGGGTGTAGAGGGCGCGCAAGGCGGATTCAGTCTCCTCGCTCCCCTCAAGAACCTGACGATCAGCTCGTGCTTTCCCACGGATCTCCCATCCACTGCATCGTGATGTGCGGCAATAGAGGCAACATACACTTTGAGGATGGAGGGAGACAGCCCTCGCTCCAGCCCATCTTGCAGGAAAGAACGCACGGACCCGATTGAACACCTTCGGGGGTCTTCTCGGTGAGAAGAACACCACTCAACGAACAGGTTCCACTTCAGGGCATAAGCATGCCTCATAGAGGGTGCTCTCGCAGAAGTGATGATGTCTACGACTACGATTGTGGTAGATCACCTAGAACCCTTGCGTCCCATCCAGGGACCAGACATGGAGTTTCCAGAGGGCTGGACGCGGGTGCCATACGGTGCCCCGTCCCTGAGAGAGAAGGTCCGCATCCAGAAACGCACGGGTGGAATGACATGTTGAAAAAGTCGCAAACGCACCCGTGTTGCTCTTTCAGGAAGTTTGGGACTCTCACCAGTGCCGGAGCACACAGGAGAATGATCGCGGCAACACTGACAGGAATGGTGCAGCCGGTACCAGTGAAGCACTCACTTTCTTCAGGAAAAAGGAATGCTGTTAAAACAGCAGTTGAGAGCTCAGAAGACTCGCGACCACCGCTGCACTCGCGCTGTAGAAACACAGAAGAAGCACCGGCACACTTGCTCGTTGAAAATATTCAACACTCTTCAGAGACATCGACGTGAAGACTGATCGGCTCCGAAGCGAAAGACAAATGGTGCGTGCATCCACTTCCGTGTTTATACCCGCGCTGCGGGGTGGAGCGTGAGATACAAAGCTCGCACGCCAATGTGCATTGGCTCGTTTTATCAATACTCAAAGATGACAGGCTCCCTAAGCTTGATGCCAATCAGTCGACTTGTCGACTACGTCGAATGTGAGCGACTGAAAAGGAAAGAGGAGTGACTGTGTCTGCCAATTATTTTTTTTGTTATTCGGTAGAATTCATTATTTGTTTTGAAGCCATTATCTGTGCATTTCCGAATAAGGTATTCGGCTTTGGGCGCATCTCTCTTGTTCCAAACTATCTTAAATTTTGGTAACACTTTCTATGAAGACCATGCTTATAATGAATTATATCTCCATGTATACTTATTTATTAAGCATTACTATTTTATAAATATATTTATAAAGACTAATTAAGACCTACACTGCATTAAAAAAAACAGTTATGTTACCATTGTTCAGTTTAGTTTCATTATGATTTTTTTCATTATGATGTTTTTAATCTCATCATGTGCTCTTTTGTTCAGTTTTCCCGCTCCTCATTATAAGTTAATTTGTGTCAGCTGTGTTTTATTAATCATCCTCCTTTGTGTTTAGAATATAACTTCCCTCACATTCATTCTCTGTTCGGTCTACGTTGCTTTAGTGTGTGTTGCCCTGCCTGCTTGTTTATTCGTTGTATCTTCGTCATTAAAAATGGTTGGAACTGAATCTTCATCCTCTTCTCCCTTCCTGCAACTGCCCGTGACAAGTTATAGTTACATTTATATTATTTGTATAATTACTTTTAAGTCATGCATTTGTTTTTTTCAATGTGCATGCTCATAATCCATTATACACTAATTTATAAGTATTAATAAGTCAGTCATATGGTTCCATGAATGTATTTATAAAGATGCAGCCTGCATTGCTATAATGTTATTATATTATAGTTACAATGACTTTTTAGTTATTCAGATTTATTTCTGTCAAATAAGTGAATATGTTGTTATTAATAGCTGTGTAGTGTTCTTATAAATATTTATTGTGAGTGATAATACAATTTACTAATGCATAATTGATAGCTTTAAGTAAAGTGAAAACAGGGCCCTATTTTAACAATCTAAGCACATGATCTAAAGCACACGGCACAAGTGCACTTAAGGGGTGTCCAAATCCACTTTAGCTAGTTTAACGATGGTGTAGCATCTGGACCAATTAGACACAAATTATTCATTATATGTAATGAATAATCCAGCAAACTCACTCTCCCAACAATGGTCTATGAAACTTCCCCCCAAAAACGAACATCCCAAATAAAGCTAATACACCCCTAAACACGACCCCAAAAGGAATGTGCAGGGAATTGTGACTCTCACTTAATTCTTGCTGAGAAGGAGAAATGAACCCTTTTAATCCTACGTATTCTATTTAGCCATGTGATAAATGTATTAACATGTATCTAATTTTCCATCTCATGATTTTCCTTTTATGTGGTTTGGCCTATGTCTTCATTTTCTCTTCTAAACTATTTTTGTCTGAAACATGACTTGCATATTATGGTTAACCAAAATCATATGTCTAGCATGTTTAGTCTCTATAAACTCCAATCTTCATCCCCCAGTTGTTAATTTACATTACATTTTGCTAACTTTGTGGCGCAATAGTATTATAAGCTAATACTAATACCAATCAAATTACATGTTCAAATGCCTGCTTGAATAAGGGTCGTAAAGAAATTCCCTCCAAAGGGAACAACTTCTTATTGGCTCACACAACCATCCAGAGGGTGTGACATCTTCACGCTTTAAAAAAAATCATTGACCAAAAGATCACGCCCTCTTATTCCTCTCTTATTCTGGCCTTCACTGCTGCTTCTTCGGGTTGATGTGTCTGTGGGGGCTCCGGCAGGCTGTGACCACAGCCTGCTATGCCTTCACTCTCCCAACAGAGTCAGACTGTATTTTCTTCAATCCAACTCAGAAGAAAACTGCAACTTTACCATCACTGAGTGGGCAACCAACTCTTTTGACTTCCTCACTCCTGGGTTGCCTGCGTGACCTCTCCGGCCCAGGGTCGGCTGGTCACAATCTGCATGTGCTCAGCCATGTGCTCATGGAGAGAGAGAAAACCTTCAACCAGAACAGAGTCGAACTACCCATGCAAGTTCATCATATCTTCTTCATCCAAAGGAGAAGAAAACGATTACAATTTCAACATTTGACACTCACGGAACCATCAACAACTTCAATTTTCAACAACTTCAAGAATTGTGTCCACTGCAAAAGCTATGCAAGTATACATTTAATGAGGGGCTCTGAAAATTATAAGCTGATGGTTCTTTTCATAGTTAAATGGATCTTTTCCATAGTTCCATTTCCTGGTTCCGGTTCCATTCTGTCACACCATTTTACCTATGCACGATTTAGATTTTGACTACAGGCTCTTAGTAGTACTGTACAGTAAGAAAGACATTTCCCTTCCCCGAAAATGAATATTTCTTAGAATTAATAAACAATTAACGCCGAGTGTTCACGGGACAAACAGGTGGGTTGATTGTAATATTAATTTTACTACATTAAGTTAATTGTATTAACTGATCCAAATATTAATAATCAATTATAACCAGTTATTATTGATTATTAATATTTCATAGAGCTAATTCGTTACAATGGGAAAAATGGTCGGCGCACCCGGCACATGGTCTAAAAGGGTTGTCCCTATTCTCTTAATGAGTAATGGGTGTGTTTTGGGTGTAACCTACAAAAAAACAATCAGAGTCTCATCTCCCATTCCCTTTAAAAGCCAGTTGCGCTCGCGCCATGGCGGATTCACTTTTTACATGGCGGAATTTGCAAGCTGAAAGACTGAACGCTTCTCCAGAGAGGAAATGGATCTGCTTGTACGTGAGGTTAAAGCGCGAGCAGACCATCTACGGGACAAGCCGGATTCCACCATATCTTTATGAACAAAATACAAAATATGTTCAAGCATGATAATCTTTTACATTGTAATCCTTTTATTTTTAATATTTGGCATGTTTGTGTGCTGCTGTGCATCCCTGTGTGTGTAATAAGCAGAGTGTACGTGCGTTGTGGACCCCACCTATAGGCGCATTTTACTAACGTGCTCTTTGAATAACAAAAAAAATAATAGTGCGCCCTTGACTTTAGACCAGGTTTCAGTTGGTCAATGGCAGTCTATTTCAGTTGCCTCAAAATCCAACAATGCGTTTGAAAACACCTCGTTTTCAGCCCATGGTCGCACAAATGGGCGCAAATGCATTTGCTATTTAAACAACTGGCGCAGGACATGAAAATGATAACTGCGTCGGGCTGAAACTTGCAAAAAACACTTGCGTTGCGCCTGGCACCGCATTGCGCCGTGTGTATGATAGGGCCCATAGGATGCATTTTTCCTAATGCAAATGTTAAGAAATCATGAAGATGTGCTCATCATACATTTTAAATTGTTTATTTGTAAATGTAATTAATGAACAATAATTCCTGTAATAAAATAATGAAAAGAAAAACAGAAATCATTCAAACAAACAGTTGAATTTTGAAGTTACATACTAGCAAAACACTGCAACAATATTTTTTAAAGAATAATTCCAAACTGCTATAAGCAATACAATGCATATGGCTGAGGAGATATAGATTTTAACAAATCAAAATTATTCATGACCTCCAATGCAAACATTAGCCATTAAATACATAATTGATAACTAATTGGTACAGCAAACAAGGGTCTCTGGAACTATTTTATATTTGATCATTTATAAATTATTTAAATGAAATTGATTATGAGCATGCGCATTGAAAAATCAAATGCATGACTTATAAGTAATAATACAAATAATATAAATGTAACTATAACTGTTCATATAATGCAGTATAGGTCTTAATGAGTCTTTATAAATATATTTATAGAATAGTAATACTTACTATACTTACGTATAAATTGGGCTAAAATTCATTATAAGCACATACTTCATAGAAAGTGTTAGCAACATTTTTTTTTTAATAATATTCCAGTCACTCTTTCCCCTCAGTTATGTTGTAGATTCTACTCAAACAAGTATATTTGGAAAATATGTAGCTTTACGCATCCCAAATGCCGTAAGACAGCCTAAACCACCGTAGGCTGGTTTAAGTTTTTTGTTTCTTTAAGTAGGCATTCTATGTGATTCATCAAGTTTCCCATGAGTTCAAAATGTTTGTTTACCAATTTTATTTTCCAGGCCCTCACTTTATGGAGTTCCTCTCCGTTCAATATGGGGATAACGCCTCTGTCGCTCTTGTTTGCAAGGCAAGTTGAATGGGAATGATTTAGCCTAAGAAAATTGAACGTCTTGGACTGACTGATGATATATTGGTGTTTTCTTGCATGTCTGACCACTTTCAGGTGGCTAATTTGAAGAAGGAGTCTGCGTTTCAGTGGTATAAAGACAGTGTAGAGGTGATTCCTGAGGTGCCTGCTGACTTGAACTCAGGAGTCTGCAAGTTCGCCATTACTCATGTGAGCACTTCACTTCATAAACACTGGAGTTAGAACTTGTTTAGCCCAAAGGTTTTTAACTGAATATCAAGCGGTTGTCCGACATAGTTCCAAAATTGCTTATTGTACAAAATTAAACCAAATAGCCATTTGACACATTGCAATTTATATTTTAAAAATTGTTAAGCCAAATATTATATTCCATCTTATTTAACATTTCCAGTGAATACATAAAAACATAGTAGAAAAGTTATCTAAAAGCATAACACATGGAACAATCACTGTTTGTGACAGAATTTACTTTTTTTTTTTTTTACTTCTCTCTTAATATGCATGGTATTTTAATATTGCAATGATACATGTGTATATGGCTAATTATTGTGATATTTTATTAGCATTTACCGTTGTTTTTTCCATGCTGCCCTCAGAACAAAGAGACTAGTGACCCATTTTTGGGTCGTGACCACTGGTTTAGTCAGTAACGTCAGCATTTGTGTTTGTGTTTTCTGTAATCAAAGTTTAAAATATATATGAAGTGTATTGAAGCATAATCAATGTTAAGTACCATAGCTAAGGTTATTTCAGTAAACAGACAAATAATCCCTGCTGGACTGTTAAGGGTAATTGTTCTAGGGTTTTTTCAGTCAATGTTCATTTACAAAAACAGCTTGTGCAACCTCAATAAATACAGCAAAGCTTGATGCATGACAAAATTATACTGTATTTGCTATAATCGCTCCTGACATCTTATGAAAAATAACATAAGAACATTTCACATGAGATATAACCTTAAGAACTTTTGACTCCCAAAGGATTGAAACCAGAGATGTGAATCAATTGAGTGCTGTAGTAATTTGATGTAATGCTGGTTATTCTTTGACATTTTTTTGTCAAATGTATTTTCGCAAAACTATTTGAAATAGCTATAAATTACTCCCAAGACAATGTAGCACAGAAACTGTTCTGCCGGTAATGCTCTAAAAAAAGCATCACTCAGGTGGCCTGTTTTTGTGAGATGCTGAATTTTTTTCTTCCATTTTTTTTTAATCCCGATATTCTAGTTCTCCAAGAAGGATGTGGGACTATATAAAGCAACCATCACCGATGACAGAGGCCAAGATGTGTCACAGATTGATGTTTCTGGCAAAGGTACCGTCTCTCAGAATTGTCTTATCAAATATAGAAAAATGTAAATGTGTGCTGGAAAATGTTTCATAAAATGTATTAAAGATGTCTTTTTTGTCACCCACAGCTTTTGATGACATCATAAATGAGCTCAGTCGTATCTCTGGTGTGTATGACATGTATCATTGTACTCGTCATTTGGCTCTCAAAAGCCAGTATGTCTTCTTTCACCCCTCTCTCATCTTCTCTGTCAATGGAGTCTAACATTTAAATGGGCTAGAAATGTATGTTTCCCCATAGTTCATTTTTAGTGCTGCTCTTGCAGTCAGGGTCTTGGTGAGAAATTATATGACTGTAACCCTAGACTGTAACTCTGATACTCTTATGCTGAAAAGTATAGCAAGTATAGTATCTGCTATTTAGGTGAATGAAAATATATCTAGGTGAATTTTTTTTTACATAATTAACCATATTAGTAAAGCCATCAAAAAAATTCATACATACAGTACCTACAGTAGATACAAATACAAGTATATATACTACAGTATACAGTATACCGTATTACAATTATACAAAACTAATATTAAGCTATTAATTCACAAAGTTTTTTAAATCTTAAGAAATTTTGGTTGCACTTTCTTTTTACAGTATGTGCAGTACAGTATGTGTAAGTACAGTACTTACAGTGTACTTACCTAAGAAAGTACTGGGTAATATAAGGTTTTAAGGTTTAATATACATGGGTTAATGTTAGGTTTGGTTCAGGGTTAGTACCTAGGCAAGGCAAGGCAAGGCAAGTTTATTTATATAGCACATTTCATACACAATGGTCATTCAAAGTGCTTTACATAAAAGAAATTAAAATAATCAAAATAAATAAGAATAATTAAAACAGTTTAGAATAAAAAATAAAATACAGTACAAACAGTCGGACGAACAGTGGCACAGTGCTTATTCATTAAATGCACAGCTAAACAGATGTGTTTTGAGTCTGGATTTGAATGTGACTACTGTTGGAGCACATCTGATCTCCTCTGGAAGCTGCGGCTGGCATAGTAGCTAAAAGCGGACTCAACATGCTTAGAGTGAACCCTTGGTATTTCTAGCTGATGTGATCCTAATGATCTGAGTGATCAGTTACGTTTATATTCAGTGAGCATATCTGCAATGTATTGAGGTCCTAGGCCATTGAATGATTTATATCAGTAATTACCTAGTTATTACCCAGTTATTGCGATTACTATAATAAGTACATAGTATGTACAAGGGGAACAGGACTGTAAATTAAAGTGCTACAGAAACTTTTGACTGCTAAAATACATAAAAATAATTGAAACATAGTATATATAATTTTTTTCCGAACCCCGTAAGGGACTGTCTATCCATCCAGGGTGTTTTCCAAGTGGTTTGGAGAACCACTGGATAGAATGGATAGATGGATGGATATTATTTTTTGAATTATAGTAATGAGAATTTGGAAGGAATATTTGCTAAATTGACATGGACATAATGTTACAATGCAAAATATATATTTATATATACTTTTCACTGATTTTGAGGTGAAATATGTCCACGTTCTTGACATATTCCGCATATTTTCACTTTTTTTTTTAAATACATAATCAATGTGAACTACAGCGGTTGAGCAACTCCAATGCATTTCTAACCCCTGAGCTCAGTTTCTATTCTCAATCTTTATGATGAAATTACTTACCAACACTTTTTTTTACTGCAATTGTGAGAAGAACAGTTGTTCATTTTAGTTGAGTGCACTTGCAAATCTTTGTATAGAATAACAATAACAATAGAAATAACAATAGAAGCTCCGCTCAAGCACGTGGTGAATATCATTAATGCAGCTTTTTGTCCAACCAGCCCCTGTTGGTGAATTTTAAGATCTCTTTCCTTCTTTTTTGACCTGGACAGGATCCAATGCCTCCGAGTTGTCGATTCAGTGCACTGCGGAAGGCATTATGCTTGAGTGCCATATGAAATATTACACCGAGGAGATGAAGATCCATTGGAAACAAAAGTATGCACATTTTCCACTCTCACTTGAAAAGATTTCCTAGAATAAAAAAAGATACACAAATAGCCCAGAAAATGAAATGCTCATGCCTCTTCATGTCCTCAGGCGTGACAACAACACTACATGTAAACATGATCTTCAGATTTTGGTCTATAATTTTGTGTTGTTTTAGTGTGAGGTGTACTAAAAAAATGATTATTGAACTACAGGAAATTACAGGAATAAAGAGTCTGTCTTGTTCCACGCTCTGTTGTCGACACAAAACAAATCATTCTGATTGCAGTTGCCTAATGCTCTGCCCTGGAGGTGATTCAGAAGCATGTGGAATACTAACGTAGAGAGAAAAGCCTCTTCCTGCTCGCATGGGTTCTCAAATCCCTATATTAGCATTTTGAAGTGGCTATTCTGGGTCTTTCCTCCCCGTGTTGCACGTTTTGAATCTTACGCAAGGCAGGTATTAATGCAGGGGTGATTTCACATTCAGTTGCAACAAAAAAAAAAAAAACTCTAGGGACATGCTAATTTGATGCTCCACTTTAAAAAAAGGCATGTCTTACATTTAATCTATGGAAAAATGAGCAAGCAATTGAGTTCAAAAAGGGATTACACAAGCCTTCGTTGAAACATTTTAAAAGCATTTATGTGCATGCGCTGCGCTTGCACATGGTGGTATTGGTTTTGTAATTCTCTCATTGATGAACAGATATTTATCAGGCCTCTGTGCATTCATTTGCTCTTTCTGCTTCAAGGGAATCTAAAATCACTGCATCAGAAAGAATGCGAATTGGTGGCAAACCAGCAATGGCAACTTTGGAGATAGTCGAACCTACTGATAAGGATAAAGGAATGTATATTTTTGAGATTGCGGATGCCGAGAAGACGCACACTCGTACTCTGGACCTCTCTGGACAACGTGAGTTGTTTGGATGTGTCATTCTTTAATACTGCTTTCTGATCATTTTTAAAGGCATTTAATAATAGTTGACCTAAAAACCTTCTGGACATAAAACTTTCTCCTCGTTTAATCCTAATGGCTTCAGAGTGGGTCGTAAATAGTCATGGAAAACTAAATTATGCCTGTTTTAGCATAAAACAACCTTGAATAAATATTATAAGTGGACCTCAGGGGGGAAAATTAATTCAAAATGTATGATGCCTTTAAAGGAGAGTATTGTGGAAAAGAACCCTATTATATTTGAACTTAATTATTAAGTGAAACGCTTTAAGAACAGCTCTAATAGTTTTCAAATCACCTCCAATGAAAAACCGCACATCAAGAATCATGTTTTCAAAGTGATTTTATCTATTTCCAAAGGCTTTTTCACTCCAAAATCCTACACCACATTTGTTATAACCAAAATGGTCACCTAAAACACGTGTTCTGGCATTGATCCTGTGTAGATGTGTTTAATGGGAAGTAAAGGCCAGTATTACAGCTGCACACACAGGAAATGTATTTAGGGAAATCCAGGGATGAAAAAATGCCATCATAGTATCAAAGGTGCAGATACTGGCAGTGGTTTCAGTTAGTCAATAGACTGTGTGATGACAAACATAATCAAGGGCTGGTGTCTGACAGGTCATGCAATTTGCTGAATGGTGACAGTAATGAGTAGGGGAAGAAGAGCTATTTCCAGCGAAGCAGGAAAACAATGCTATTAAAATAATGAGAGCTGATTTTTTTTTTATGCCGTGCCTCCGGGACAAGACGCGGCAAGTAGAGACACAGTGCAGTTTTCCTTTAAAAAAAATAGTATTCATGTTTTATATGCTCTTAACTTTTGTTCTTTTTTCCTGTTTTCCCCCCTTTAGTCTACGACAACGCCTACGCAGAATTCCAGAGACTCAAGTAAGATAACCAGTTCATCAGGCCACCACATGGCTTTCCACGTCCTAAATGTTTAGAGATGCAAAGCATGTGAGCTGCACGTTAGTGTTTGGATAAAATATTATGGTCTGCTAATGAACTCAACAATGCTATTCTTCTTTTGCCCTTCAGAGCGGAAGCATATGCTGAAAAGAGTGAGTATACTCAATCACTCCCAACACTCTCGGGGGTCCTGCTTTGATATGTAATTATATTCCAAAAATTAACTTTGCAATGTATTCTTATCAGATCGTGGCAAAGTGGTTGGTGGTCTTCCTGATGTTGTGACAATCATGGAAAAGAAGGTTTGTTCAAGCTCGTTATGTGTGAGCCATAACAATATGAAAAATGGATGCAATGCATAAAGAAATTGGAATCCTATCTGACTTTCCTTTTGAAGAAAATCATGTCAAAAACACCACAAAATGTACTCTCTCTCACACACACACACACACATATATTTTGTTTTGGCTTTACAGCAGCTCTAGGATAAAGTTATTGTCCAGCTAAAGTTAGTATTGATTGATTGATTCACTTACGTTGCAAAGACCATTAGTTATTAACTTAGGGGCGCTAACATGACACCGTTCTAACAGAAAACACTCAACACGCTACGGACTGCTCATCCACACAAAACAGTGCCTGGTGGCTCGAGATCGCAAACCCTGAAATAGATTCTAAGGTGCAAGCCTTGAAAAATTTAGAAAAAAAGGTTTTCTCTGCGCAAACCTCAAAAAGCAAACCCGCGAAAACGCAGACAGCGTGCACATGCACATCACGAGTTTAGTCTATAGTTATGCGCGTTTGAATATACATGTGCGCAGGCCTGTAGTCCTTCTTTACAAACCAGCCCTCAACAAACTACTTGTCTGGCCTTAAAAATGTATAATTAAGAATTATTTATCGCTTCCGCGTGCCACGTGAACCCGATTTATCCCGACAACGTTTTATTTGTACAGAGGTAAAGGGAAGGGAAAGAGGCCTTTACAGGGAAGAGACTAGTTGACACTTCAGGACTGCGTTGTCGTCGTGTCCAGGCGCTGGTCCTTCATCAGATCTGGATACGGCCTGGATCCGGCGGACTGCGGTAAACCTCGGGATAAACAGAGAGACTAATATTAGCGTAGACGCCATCCTTCTTATGATGTAACAAGTACATCAGGATTTATGGGATGAATGAATGAATGAATGAATGAGGCATTTATATAGCTCTTTCATATGTACTACTGTACACCCAAAGCGCTCTACAATGATGTCGGGGTCTCTCCTCAACCACCACCAGTGTGCAGCATCCACTTGGATGATGCGATGGCAGCCACAGTACAACGGCGCCAGTGCGCTCACCACACACCAGCTACAGGTGGAGAGGAGAGAGAGTGATAGAGGAAGACTGTTCCAAAGATTTGGTGCTAAATAGGTAAAGGATCTACCGCCAGCATGCGATTTTGATATTCTCGGTATTGGTACTGGCCGGATAAGGTCGCAATAGACGTGAAGGACTATAATGTGTTAAGAGCTCGCTCAAGTACTGGGGAGCTAAACCATCTAGTGCTTTGTAAGTAATCAGCAATATTTTTAAATTTATACAATGTTTAATAGGGAGCCAATACAGAACCGGGCTGATATGGTCATACTTCCTGGTTCTGGTAAGAACTCTAGCTGCTGCGTTTTGGACCACCTGTAGTTTGTTTATTACAGTTTTTCTCGATTGCTTAAACACATTTCTTGAAACTATGCCTCGTATTCTCAAAACAGTAAACACAAATCCATAACGTCTCACCCAATTCTCCAAACATCCTATTTTCAGGTCAAAATGAAGCTCTACACTCAAAACCATTCACTCTTGCTGAAAAACCAAACTTTGCCCTCAGACAGGACACACAAGCCCTCAGAAATACACACACTACAACATAGTCTTACACACTGGTGCTGTAAATTCAAAACAACATTTCCAAAACTGGTAAGTCATGTTGCTTGTGGTCCATCCATCTTTTTTTTTTTACTCGCTTCTACTCAAGATGTGTGTGAGCATCATATGACAGTAAAAGAGCACACAAACCTTATTCAAATATGGTTCAAAGTATTGGAATGGTAAAGAGTGTTGGTACATGCCTCCACTCAAGGATACAATATGATGAACAAGTCTAAGAATGTTCCACATATGGTTGAAATACCATCATTGGCCTAGAAAGATAACATTCTGGGAGTCAAGACTATAAATGGGGAAGGATGCCCTCTTCACTGTCACACTCTGCAGCCACTCTGTGTGACTGTACGACTGCTGGCCTTTTCTTGCAAGAACATAAACCTCATCAAAGACAATTGGAAATGTTTGTCTCTTATTCAGTGATAGAAATCTGTTTGCCACCACACCTCCCTGAAGGATCTGATGATGGAGGCGACGGTGAAGCGACTCAAATTTGGCTGTACTCGTTGCGCAGCCTCCCTTAGTCATACCATGGACAAGGACATGGCCAACTAAAGTGGCTTGAGTTTCATCCGAGACTGCTTGTCTTCTTGCCCTTGCCCTTCCTCCTCCTCCTCCTCTTCTCCTCCACCTATTCCTCTCCCTCCTCCTATTCCTCCTCCTCTTCCTCCTCCTCCTCCTCTTCCTCCACCTATTCCTCTCCCTCCTCCTATTCCTCCTCATCTTCCTCCTCCTCTTCCTCCACCTATTCCTCTTCCTCCTCCTCCTATTCCTCTTCCTCCTCCTCCTCTTCCTCCTCCTATTCCTCTTCCTCCTCCTCCTATTCCTCTTCCTCCTCCTCCTCCTCTTCCTCCACCTCTTCCTCATCCTCTTCCTCCTCCTATTCCTCTTCCTCCTCCTCCTCCTCTTCCTCTCCCTCCTCCTCCTGCTCTTTCTCCTCTCCCTCCTCTTCCTCTCCCTCCTCGACCTATTGCTTAATTTCTCTGTGGATCCATTGTTCCAAAACTCAGTAAACTGATTTTTATCTTTTATAAAAGATTGTATAACCTTTTATCTATCTATCTATTGAAGGATCTGACTGATGTGTGTTCAATTTTGACTCTTAGTGTTTTCACCTGGGTAATTGTGTGCTAACTGAGCTGAAGCTGAGTTGACTTGAGTGAACAATATTGAATGCTAGTGCTTTCTAAATGACCACGTGGTGTAGGCAATGAGAAATGAAGGGATGTGTGTGTAGAGTTTTGCTGTGACAGTTCAACAAATCTGACTAATGTGTCAAAACAGGGGAATAGTGTTCATAGTTCAGTGAAATGGGTGTGCTTTTTGATAAATGGCATTATGGTTTTGAAATTTTAGTTCAAAAGCCTGGTTATAGTGTTTAAGCAATCGAGAAAAACTGTAAGCGTGCAGGGCAACCACCCATAATAGCATTACAATAATCTAGCCTTGATGTAATGAACGCATTAACTAATTGTTCCGCATTTGTCATTGAGAGCATATGACGTAATTTAGATATATTTTTAAGATGGAAAAATGCGGTTTTACAGATACTATACACGTCACTTTCAAATGAAAGATTGGTATCAAAGAGCACACCCAGGTTCCTAACCGATGACGAAGACTTGACAGAGCACCCATCAAGTGTTAGACAGTATTCTAGGTTATTACTTGAGGAAGTTTTTTGTCCAATAAATAGAATCTCTGTTTTTTCAGAATTAAGTAGTAGGAAATTGCTAGTCATCCAGTTTTTTATATCAGTTATGCATTCCGTTACTTTTGTGAAATGGTAAGAGATACAACCACGATCGGATGATAAGAGCAAGACTCTAATGAGAGCTGTCTCAGTACTATGGTACGGTCTAAATCCGGACTGAAAATCCTCGCAGATACCATTTCTTTCTAAAAAGGAACATAGTTGTGAGGATACTGCCTTTTCTAGTATCTTTGACAGAAAAGGTAGATTCGAGTTCGGCCTGTAACTGACGAATTCTGTAGGATCAAGTTGCGTTTTTTTAACAAGCGGTTTAATCATAGTCAGCTTAAAAGTTTTTGGTACATATCCTAATGACAAAGATGAATTAGTGATATTAAGAAGAGGATCTTTGACCTCTGGAAGCATCTCTTTCATTAGCTTAGTCGGTATAGGGTGTAACATACATGTTGTCGATTTAGAGGATTTAACGAGTTAAGAAAATTATTTCGCTCCTATAGCAATGAATGAATCGAATTTTTCCTCAGGGAGACTACAATACACTGCCTGATGCAATACTGTGGTAGAGGGTTGCATATTTATAATTCTATCCCTGATATAATCAATCTTGTAAGTAAAGAAGTTCATAAAGTCATTACTGCTGTGCTGCTTTGGAAACGTCTGGGGTTGAAGCTTTATTTTTCGTTAATTTAGCCACTGTTTCAAATAAATAAGGTTTTGTTTATTTTCTTCTAATAGGGTTGAAAAATAAGCAGATCTAGCAGCTTTTAAGGCCTCTCTGTATGCAGTGCGGAAAAAAAAACCCTCTAGTTTTGTTTTCTTCCAGTTGCGCTCCATTTTTCTGGCTGCTCTCTTAAGGGCCTGAGTGTGCTCGTTGTACCACGGTGTTGGACTATTTTCTTTAATCTTCTTTAAGCACAAAGAAGCTGTGTCTAAAGTGCTGGAAAAGAGAGAGTCAAAAGTTTCTGTCGCAATATTGAGTTCTTCTAAGCTATCTGGGATGCTGAGGAGATGAAATTGATCAGGAATATTATTAATAAAGCAATCTTTAGTGGCAGAAGTTATAGGTCTAACATATTTGTAACACGGAGTCGGCTTTGCAACCTTGGCTAGATGGAGTATACACGAGACTAGATAATGATCTGAGATGTCATCGCTCTGCTGTAGAATTTCAATGGCATCAACATTGATTCCATGTGATAATATTAGATCTAGAGTATGATTACGACAATGAGTAGGTCCTGACACGTGTTGTATAACTCCAATAGAGTTCAGAATGTCACAAATCTCAAACGTGATTTATCATTTACACTAGATAGTGTTACATTAAGCACCAACACTTCATTATATTTAAAACAAGACTTCTCAGTAATTCTGAAGATATTACTATAAATTACATCAACACCTCCCCCTTTGCCTTTCAGACGAGGCTCATGTTTATAACAGTAATCTTGGGGGGTGGACTCATTTAGAGTAATGTAATCGTCTGGTTTTAGCCAGGTTTATGTCAAACACTAGCCTGACTTCGTCATACTCATATTCTAGTCAGAATGTGAGTCTGATACTGCTCCATAGGGCTTTGATTATGAGGCGTGTCTTAACCGAACCAGGAAAAAAAAACCTCTGCACTCAATTGGATAGACCTACAACCAATCAGAGCAATGCAG